CACAAATGTTTGAAGACACTGAAATGAGTCTTTTGTAACATTTGGGACGTTCTAGAAGAGAAACGTTGGTGCTGGTGTTGACTCAGTGGGTGTTCCAGGGCGCGTTTGTGATGCTCCAACGTCATTTCTTTGTGATTTTGTGACAATGACAATAAAACAAATGAACTGAACTAGGGCTGGGTGATATGGATCAAAAAATATATCTCGATATATTTTGCAATGTCTGGATATACGATATATATCTCCATATCTGTTCAAGAAAAAATAACCCCCTAAAACTGAAAAGTGCAAAAACAAATCTGCCAAATTCCACAAGGTCCTCTTTTTTTATTGAAGTGTAAGAGGTCGGCAGTTCATACAGGAACATTTAAGATTACAAAAAACCCTAATCACATAAATAATAATTTAACTGTAAAATAAAAGAAATAAAACATTTTTCCTTCTTTTCATTCATAAATAAAACAACTCAACACAAGCTCATCTTTGCATTAACTCAGTTATCCAAACCAGAACCAGAACCATGAGCAGAAGAAGCTCAGGATGTTCCTTATTTCAATAGATTCATGTTATTATCCAGCAGTAAGGACCTGTGAGGTTTAATCCCACAATCCACTGCAGATCAAACCCAACGATTCCAAACACTGTTGTACAAGTGACACTGCAACAGATTATTCATTAAAATCTTCTGCAAAAATAAACTTTACATGACTAAACTTTACAATATATAAAGCATAACGACTCTAGAGCCTCATCAGCCCGTTTGAGATAATAATGTGTTTAATGCAGTTTTGCGCACGTGTGTTTACATTTTACAGAAACAAAACTTAAGCTCATGTCTCATTTGCATAAACAGCACTTCTCATGCAGCTCAGCTCGTTTAGCTTCTGTCGGGCTAAAGGACGCGACTCGGTGGAATATGAGGATGTGCTGCTGATGGTTTTGTCTGTAAATGGTGGAAAAGGTTGTGGTGCTTGAAGCTTTTCACTGGCACCAACTTTCAGAGTTCACGGCGACAGTGAGGAGTGAAGGAGACACGAGCGAACAAAATCAGGGAGGCGACGAGAGAGAAGGTAAACAAGCGAAGCTGTGAAATCAAAATTAAATATAAGCATTATATGGATATATACGATATGTCAGAATTCATATCAAGTTTAAAAACTACCTCGATATATTTAAAATATCGATATATCGCCCACCCCTAAACTGAACTAGGATGACCATATTTCCGTTTGTGAAAACCCGGACACCTTTTGGGGGGGCATTTCTCTGATTTTTTTTTTTTGTGCAATTTTGCAATTTTTTACAGCGTATGAACGCGTATTGTGTATTACAGGCGGGTAGTAGTTACACACGGGCGGGTCAGGACTAAACCAGGTCTGAACCAGGACTAATCTTGGACTTAAGAGAGAAAACGCAGAGCAGTTTGTCCGCAAAGCGCGATCGGCAACTGCCGCGTTTACCTCCGTGAGGTACGGAGCTGAGCCGGTCCTTTCTCCTGCATCACCTCCGAGCCCGTCCTGACAGTGAGTCCTGTTTCAGTTCTGGTTTAGTCCTGGTTTAGTCCTAGTTCAGTCCTGGGTTAGTCCTCCTCTTCAGTCCTGAAATCAGTCCTGGGTTAGTCCTGGTTTAGTCTTGATTCCGTCCATGGCGTAGGCAGCAGGGTTAATGGGCAGGTGCGGTCCTGTACTGCCAGGTGCGGTCCTGTACTGGCAGGTGCGGTCCTGTACTGGCAGGTGCGTGTTGTACTGGGGGTCTCCAAAAATGGAGCAGTGCAGGACTCTGCGCTGTCGGCTCCATTATGGAATAAATGAATCTTCAGTTCGTTACATAAAGAAGGAGGAAAATAACAAAAGTACAACAGCAGTGATAAGTTTTAAGAAGGAAGTAAAAAGGGTGCACCTGTCCTGTCTGAGAAAAGTGTATAAAGTGTGTGGTGAGGGGTTTTACAAACTTAAAACAGATAGAATAAGTGTAAAATATAAAGTTGATACTTCGTGGATTTCACCTATCACAGGTTATTTTTAGAACATAACCCCCGCGATAAACGAGGGACACTGTCCTCTCACCTCACAACCTGTGCACATGACCTCACACTTGTCCTGACCGGGATGGAAAACAGAGAATTTCTTGTTCAAGTCATTGTTAAATGCACATTTACGCTTCGGTATGTTGCAGACTGACTGACTGTTTGTGTCTCGTTCCTTCTGAGTCACAGACGCTACGAGAGACGCTCAGTTTAATGCCCCCAATGAACGGTACTGAAAACCCAGACATTTGCATCACTTTATAAAAAAAACCCGGACGCCCAGGACAGGACGCAAAATACGGACATATCCGGGGAAAAGCGGACGTTTAGTCACCCTAGTGTTGACTCAGTGGGTGTTCCAGGGCGCGTTTGTGATGCTCCATCATCACTTCTTTGTGATTTTGTGACAATGACGATAAAACAAATGAACTGAATCATCTGTTCCGTCGTTCGTGTGGACGTGGACAGACATACTGGGGAATATACACAACCCTTTACTGGCTGCAGGCAGTGTGGAGGAGTAACAGATTACATGTACCGGCGTGATGTAATCAGAGTACAAATTATGAGTCACTGTATTCAGTTACAGTTACTGATTCAGTGAGTGGTAATTGGATTACAGTTACTTTGTTGAAATAAATGGATTATATGGCGGTATATTCCTGTTTTCACATTTTGGACTAAACCAGGACTAAAACCAGGACTAAACAGGACTAAACCAGGACTAAACAGGACTAAACCAGGACTAAACCAGGACTAAACCAGGACTAAACCAGGACTAAAACCAGGACTAAAATCAGGACTAAAATCAGGACGAAACCAGGACTAAAACCAGGACTAAACCAGGACTAAAACCAGAACTAAACCAGGTCTAAACAGTATGATAACAGTAGGTGGACATACTTTAAGACAGCAGTGATCTCATATAAAAATAATTTCTCTATCAATAATATTTTTTATTTAGTTAAGGAAACACTGGACTTTTTATTTTCTTTCAACAGATAAAACATTTTATGTTTATGTCATGGACGCCTAGAAAAGGACACCAATCTCCCAATAGACTCAATCTCTTCTTATAACCAGAAAAATGGATCAATTTCTGTCAGTTGTCTTTGGAAAATAACTTCTGATGGGATGTTGCATGAAGGGTCAGGATGTTGGTTGGTTGTGTGTGAGTTTGTATGTGTAACCTGGTTACCATAGTTTTATCTTGCACTCTGGCCCTGAGTTTTAATATTATTTACTATTAATGTAATTAATATTATTCACTTTTAATGTAATTCACTTCATATAGTACAGCAGTACATAAATCAACTCTTTTCAAATATTGTTTCTATGAAAAAAATCCTGCTTAATCCCATAAGTAATGGTAAAGCCTGAAAGTTCTGCCTCCTGCTGATTTGAGGTACAGTGAGTTTCTTTGGTCATAGCAGCTGTTTCCCTCTAGATACAAAGGTCATCTTGGTCTTAAATTGAAGCTTATGAACATGGGAAGTTTTTTATGTACATTTGAGGCAGTGATATATGCAATAAAATGCTTGAAAATGATCACATTTGATGAGAGTTTGTCAGGTGGACAGACATTCTTTTGTCTTTTGGTGTATGTTGAGGGTGATATTTGACAGTAGAAAGGCAGCAAGCCCCAGAATATTTTTCTGCTGGTTTCCCCCATGTGTCAGGATACACCATGCCAAATTTTAGGGTTATTTGACCACGTATGCAGTTACAGTACCTTAATATTTACAGTTACATCATTTCACAAATAGCTTTTCTTAAAGGGTGTTTTTTGGGCCCTGAGACCAAACGGGGTGGAGTTGGGGTTGGTCCCTATCAACTCGTGACAGCCCAAGATATAAGATAAGAGTGAAAAAAAAGGAGCAAAACATCCTGAGGGGTGAACCTGGCTGCCGGCCTATATGTTTCTGTCTCTCTGACCTGTCAGGGACTACAGATGAAAAGTACCTTTGGGCTAATTCTGGCGTATTTACAAGTATATGTTCATGAATATGCATTGTCCCTTTTAAATAAATAAAACTAAAAAAAAAAAAAAAAACTATAACGTGAAACAGTGAATAGAAATATAAGACAGTAAAACATTTTTATTCCTAACTCTTTTTATTTTATATTTGTATTGGCTCAAACTATGAACATAAACACAAAAACTAACTCAGCCTTTTCATCAGACCTCAAACTAAAAATACTTTTACTTTACAGTACCTGCTCTCAGATGATGAAGTAACAGTAAAACGTATCTATTTGAAAAGGTACAGTTACCTCAAATGTATATGTATAGTACAGATAACTACTTTTAACATGTACTTTGTACTTTACATACTTGTAACATTCCAGCACTGATTGGGTCTAATCCTGGTTCTGGTTCCACATTCAAATCCAACATAAAGTACAAGTAGATTTTATAGGCATCCATTATCGTTTGTGTTCCTGGGCACGAGCAGCAGACACGGATGTGAGATAAACAGAGGTCATTTCTAAGATAAGATAAGATATGCCTTTATTAGTCCCACAGTGGGGAAATTCCAGTGTTGCAACGCGCAATTTCAGAACAGCAGGAAAAAGTAACACAGATAATAAATAATAGCTTAAAAATAATTTTAAAATAGACTTAAAAATAATTGCACATGGATATAATTGACTGGCACATGTTCAGTGTTTACAGTGTTTGTTGTAAAGTCTGACAGCAGCAGGAAGGAAAGATTTGCGAAACCTCTCCTTCACACAGCGAGGGGGAATCAGTCTGTCACTGAAGCTGTTCTCCAGAGCAGACAGAGCGTCCTGCAGGGGGTGAGACTCATGGCCCAGCAGAGAGATGACCTTAGTCAGGACCCTCCTGTCCCCCACCTCCTGCACTGAGTCCAGAGGACAGCCCAGGACAGAGCTGGACTTCTTGATGACCTTGTCCAGCTTCTTCCTCTCCTTCTCTGTGATGCTGCTGCTCCAGCAGACCACACCGTACAGGATGGCTGATGCCACCACAGAGTCATAAAAGGTCTTCAGGAGTGGCCCCCCCACTCCAAAAGACCTGAGTCTCCTCAGGAGATAGAGCCTGCTCTGGCCCTTCCTGTACAGTGCATCTGTGTTGTGAGTCCAGTCCAGTTTATTGTTCACATGAACACCCAGGTACTTATATGAGTCCACTCTCTCAATGTCCCTTCCCTGGACACCAATGGAACCACAATGTTAATTTACACAAGAGTTCTGATTAGGCTGATACAAACCAAGCCCAGAACCAGAAAGCGCGATCGGGCAATTGCCGCGTTTACCTCCGTGAGGTACGGAGCTGAGCCGGTCCTTTCTCCTGCGGTCACCTCTGAGCCCGTCCTGACAGTGAGTCCTGTTTCATTTCTGGTTTAGTCCTGGTTTAGTCCTAGTTCAGGTGTGGATTAGTCCTCCTCTTCAGTCCTGGAATCAGTCCTGGGTTAGTCCTGGTTTAGTCTTGGTTCAGTCTGTGGCGTAGCACAAAAGTTTGATATAATCTCTGGTTAATGGGCGGGTGTGGTCCTGTACTGGCAGGTGTGGTCCTGTACTGGCAGGTGTGGTCCTGTACTGGCAGGTGCGGTGTTGTACTGTGGGTCTCCAAAAATGGAGCAGTGCAGGACTCTGCGCTGTCGGCTCCATTACAGAATAAATGAATCTTCAGTTTGTTACATAAAGAAGGAGGAAAATGACAAAAGGACGACAGCAGCAATAAGTTTTAAGAAGGAAATAAAAAGTGTTGTAAGTGTCCTGTCTGAGAAAAGTGTATAAAGTTTGTGCTGAGGGGTTTTACAGTATTAAAACAGATAGAACAATTGTAAAATATAAAGTTGATACTTTGTGGATTTCACCTATCACAGGTTATTTTTAGAACATAACCCCCGTGATAAACGAACTGTACTCTCACCTCACAACCTGTGCACATGACCTCCCACTTGTCCTGACCGGGATGGAAAATGGAGAATTTCTTGTTCAAGTCATTGTTAAATGTGCATTTGTGCTACGGTATGTTGCAGACTGACTGACTGTGTCTCGTTCCTTCTGAGTCACAGACGCTACGAGAGACGCTCAGTTTAATGCCCCCAATGAACGGTACCGGAAAACCCGGACATTTGCATCACTTTATTAAAAAAAACGGACGTTTGGTCACCCTAGGGTTATTAGACGCGCTCTTAAGCCTCCAACCCCATCAAAAAACGGCCGCGCACCACAATCCAGAGCGCCCCATACACCAATCCACTCAGGTGTCCCAGTACGACTTCAGTAAACTACAAAGCAACACCACCCGCAGAACACACAAACGCACACGGAGCAGACAGCAACCGCACAGTAAAAAACACCCACAGAACACGCAAACACACACGGAGCAGACAGCGACCGCACAGCGAAACACACCCGACCCCGACGCGCAACGGAATGAAGAGAAAAAGCGAGTTCAATGTGCCACTTCTAGACACAACTGAACAACTGAGTCACTGCGAACACACCGACAATCCGTTGGTCCCAGACACACCCTCCCTACACGCCACAACTGAACAAATCCCAGAGTCACCGTGAACGAACAAACAAACAAAACCACTCACCCATCACACTGCTGTGTTTCCTTTAAAGTCCCACACCGTTTATTTGTGAAAAAAGTTAGAAAATAGACCATTTAAAGACTTATTTTAAGCCTTATAATCCAGAGCGCCTAATAGTGCGGAAAATACGGTAATCAGTGTAGAAGCTCTGTAAACAGGCATCATATTTTTACATCAGTTGAGTGACAGTCATTGTAAAAAAGTTGGGGGGAAAAAAGTACAAAAATACAGAAAGTAGTGCTACAGAAAGTAAAACAGAATAAAGGAAAGGTGTTTGTGTTTGTGTATAAGTGCGCTGGGGGCATCTACAAACTCTTGCAGTGGCACTGGTCAAATAATCACTGAGCTGTTGTGTATTTCAGACAAATACTGTCCCTTGTTAACACTGCCTTTTTTTTTGTAAAATAATAACATATTTTCAACGGGGAATTCTGAGCATGAAGCAGAATACTCACCATGACTAAGATTTATTTTTATGGATAACTTTATATGTATATATACCCAGTGTTGGGAAGTAACAGATTACATGTACCGGAGTTACGTAATCAGAGTACAAATTATGAGTAACTGTATTCAGTTACAGTTACTGTTTCCATGAGTGGTAATTGGATTACAGTTACTTTGTTGAAATAAATGGATTATATGGTGGTATTTTCCTGTTTTCACATTTTGGGCTAAACCCGAACTAAACCAGGACTAAACTAGGACTAAAACCAGGACTAAACCAGGACTAAAATCAGGACTAAACCAGGACTAAAATCAGGACTAAACCAGGTCTAAACCAGGTCTAAACCAGGACTAAACCAGGGCCAATTTGAAGAGAACAAACATGAATTTTCAGGATGTGGTTGTTACATTCCTGTAGTTTTAAAAAACATGACAATATCAAGTAATCCAAAGTATTCAGATTACATTACTCACTTTAAGTAATTTAGGGGCTTCTGAACCGTTCTTCGTCTGACCCGTCCCCCCAGACCTGTTTGCCTTGGGTGACCCTACCAGGGGCATGAAGCCCCCGACAACATAGCTCCCGGGATCATTCGGGCACTTACTTCAGAAGCCCCTTATGATGAGTGCAACACAGAGGCCAGTTACGTCGCCCGGATTGGCGTCACCGGGGCCTCACCCTGGAGCCAGGCCTGGGGTGGGTGCTCGTCAGTGAGCGCCTGGTGGCCGGGCCTTCCCCCACGGGGCCCGGCCGGGCTTAGCCCAAAGGAGTGACGTGGGGCCGTCCTCACGTGGGCCCACCACCCGCGGGAGGATCCATATGGGGCCGGTGCAGAGAGATCTGGGCGGCAGTCGACGGCAGGGGCCTCGGCGACCAGATCTCCGGACATGGAGACTAGCTCTGGGGACATGGAATGTCACCTCGCTGGGGGGGAGGAGCCGGAGCTTGTGCGGGAGGTTGAGCGTTATCGACTAGATATAGTCGGCCTCACCTCCACGCACAGTTTGGGCTCTGGAACCCAACTCCTTAAGAGGGGCTGGACTCTCCATTTCTCTGGCGTTGGCCGCAGGGAGCGCCGGCGGGCTGGTGTGGGCCTGCTCATTGCCCCACAGCTCAGGTGCCGTGTGTTGGAGTTCACCCCGGTGAACGAGAGGGTCGCGTCTCAGCGCCTTCAGGTCAGGGACACGTCTCTCACTGTGGTGTCGGCCTACGGGCAGAACAGCAGTGCAGAGAACCCGGCCTTCTTGGAGTCCCTGGGAGGGGTACTAGACAGTGCACCGACCGGGGACTCCGTTGTTCTACTGGGGGACTTCAACGCCCACGTGGGCAACGACAGTGACACTTGGAGAGGGGTGATTGGGAGGAACGGCCTCCCCGATCTGAACCCGAGCAGTGTTTTGTTATTGGACTTCTGTGCTAGTCACGGTTTGTCCATAACAAACACCATGTTTGAGCACAAGGGTGTCCATAAGTGCACGTGGCACCAGGACACCCTAGGCCGGAGGTCGATGATCGACTTTGTAGTCGTGCCGTCTGACCTCCGGCCGCGTGTCTTGGACACTCGGGTGAAGAGAGGGGCTGAGCTGTCAACTGATCACCACCTGGTTGTGAGTTGGGTTCGCTGGCGGAGGAGGAAGCCGGAAAGACCTGGCAGGCCCAAGCGTGTAGTGAGGGTCTGTTGGGAACGTCTGGCAGAGCCCTCTGTCAGAGGGACTTTCAACTCGCACCTCCGGGAGGACTTCTCCCGGATTCCGGGGGAGGCTGGAGATATGGAGTCCGAGTGGGCTTCATTCTCGGCCTCTATTGTCGATGCGGCTGCTCGGAGCTGTGGGCGTAAGGTCTGTGGTGCCTGTCGCGGCGGCAATCCCCGAACCCGGTGGTGGACACCGGAAGTAAGGGATGCCGTCAAGCTGAAGAAGGAGTCCTATCGGGCCTTGCTGGCTCGGGGGACTCCCTGAAGCAGCTGACGGGTACCGGCGGGCCAAGCGTGCTGCAGCCCGTGCGGTTGCGGAGGCAAAAACTCGGAGCTGGGAGGAGTTCGGGGAGGCCATGGAGAAGGACTATCGGACGGCCTCAAAGAGATTCTGGCAAACCGTCCGGCGCCTCAGGAGGGGGAAGAAGTTCTTCGCCAACACTGTTTACAGTGCGGGGGGAGAGCTGCTGACCTCGACTGGGGACGTTGTCCGGCGGTGGAAGGAATACTTTGAGGATCTCCTCAATCCCACCGTCACGTCTTCCGAGGAGGAGGCCGAGGCTGGGGACTCGGAGGCGGACTCATCCATCACCCTGGCTGAAGTCACTGAGGTGGTTGGAAAGCTCCTTAGTGGCAAGGCTCCGGGGTTGGATAAGATCCGTCCTGAGTACCTTAAGTCTCTGGATGTTGTGGGGCTGTCTTGGCTGACACGCCTCTTCAACATCGCGTGGCGGTCGGGGACAGTACCTCTGGACTGGCAAACCGGGGTGGTGGTCCCTCTGTATAAGAAGGGGGACCGGAGGGTGTGCTCCAACTATAGGGGGATCACACTCCTCAGCCTTCCCGGTAAGGTCTATGCCAGGGTACTGGAGAAGAGAATCCAGCCGATAGTCGAACCTCAGATCCAGGAAGAGCAGTGTGGTTTTCTTCCTGGCCGTGGAACACTGGACCAGCTCTACACTCTCCATCAGGTGCTTGAGGGTTCATGGGAGTTTGCCCAACCAGTCCACATGTGCTTTGTGGACTTGGAGAAGGCATTCGACCGTGTCCCTCGTGGTGTCCTGTGGGGGGTGCTCTGGGAGTATGGGGTTCGGGGCCCTTTGCTAAGGGCTGTCCGGTCCCTGTATGACCGGAGCAGGAGCTGTGTTTGCATTGCCGGCAGTAAGTCAGACCTGTTCCCGGTGCATGTTGGACTCCGCCAGGGCTGCCCTTTGTCACCGGTTCTGTTCATTGTGTTTATGGACAGAATTTCTAGGCGCAGTCAGGGGCTGGAGGGGGTCCGGTTTGGGGACCACAGGATCTCATCTCTGCTGTTTGCGGATGATGTTGTCCTGTTGGCTTCATCGAACCAGGACCTGCAATGTGCACTGGGGCGGTTTTGCAGCCGAGTGTGAAGCGGCTGGGATGAAGATCAGCTCTTCTAAGTCTGAGGCCATGGTTCTCGACCGGAAAAAGGTGGCTTGCCCTCTCCGGGTGGGTGGGGAGTCTTTGCCTCAAGTGGAGGAGTTCAAGTATCTCGGGGTCTTGTTCACGAGTGAGGGAAGGACGGAACGTGAGATTGACAGGCGGATCGGTGCAGCTTCGGCAGTGATGCGGTCGCTGTATCGGACCGTTGTGATGAAGAGGGAGCTGAGCCGAAAGGCGAAGCTCTCGATTTACCGGTCAGTCTTCGTTCCTACTCTCACCTATGGTCATGAGCTCTGGGTAGTGACCGAAAGGACGAGATCGCGGATACAAGCGCTTGAAATGGGTTTCCTCCGCAGGGTGGCTGGGCGTTCCCTTAGAGATAGGGTGAGGAGCTCAGTCACACAGTAGGAGCTCGGAGTAGAGCCGCTGCTCCTCCACGTCGAGAGGAGCCAGTTGAGGTGGCTCCGGCATCTGTTTCAGATGCCTCCTGGGCGTCTCCCTCGGGAGGTGTTCCGGGCATGTTCCACCGGGAGGAGACCCCGGGGAAGACCCAGGACACGCTGGAGGGACTATGTCTCTCGACTGGCCTGGGAACGCCTCGGGGTCCCCCCGGAGGAGCTGGAGGACGTGTCTGGGGTGAAGGAAGTCTGGGAGTCCCTGCTTAGGCTGCTGCCCCCACGACCCGGCCCCGGATAAGCGGACGAAAATGGATGGATGGATGGATGGACTTTAAGTAATTTAATGGAATGAACTACATTTTTGGGCTATGTAATCTGTAATCTGTAATCTGTAATATGTAGGGGAATACATTTTAAAAGTAACCTTCCCAACACTGTATATACCATACCAACTTTATTCATAAAGCACTTCAAAAATTTTACATTAGGTCAAAGTGCTGCACACAAACACTTGACAGACAATGACAATCGCAGCAGAAGAAAATATACAGTACAAACACAATACAACTACTAAAAAACACAGAAAACAGTAAAACACACAGACAAACACAGTATAGACTATATATACACAGAGTATATATACTGTATATATAGTGTAACATCTAAGGCTGCGTTCAGACTGCAGCCTGAAGTGACCCAAATCCGATTTTTTGGCCCCTATGTTCCTGTATCTGATCTTTTAATGACAGTCTGAACCACACAGATCCCATTTTTTCAAATGTGACCCAGGACACTTGGATATGTGCTCCTGAAACTGATACATATCTGATCTTTTGACATGTGACTTCAGTGTGAACGGCCAAAGCACATTCATCCACCTGTAAGTTATCAACAAGACACAAACGTCACTATTCTGCGCTGAAGTAGGCGAAAATTGTTAATGAACTCCGTGTCACTGAAGCGAAGCACATCACCACTCACCACTCTTGGCTCCGTCTCCACACCCACATGTTCCTTTCAACGGACTGAACCACAAAACACCACGACCAAAAAACCTCGTCCTTCTCCTTCTCAATCTCCTCCTTAAAACAAGTAAATTGTTCATGTTGTGGCTCTGGTACGAGAGGAACTTTAAAATCTCCAGGTGCTCGATGCTGCGTCCATGTTTGGACAACTTCTGTAAACACAGAGACGCTCACTGCGGTTGACGTCATCGTGTCTCCAGTGCACATGCGGGACACTTTTGGGCAGTTTAATGTTCACACAGGGGATCGAATACAAGTCGTATTTAATTGGAAATGTGAACGACCTCGCAAAAACATCGGATTTCACAAAAAAATTGAATCGGAATTGAGCGTTAAGCCCTGCAGTCTGAACGGAGATTTAATGTCACAAATGTCAGCTGGGTTACACAGATTTTATAATGAGAGTCTATGGGAGTGTTACTGTGTTCACTATTTTGTCTGTTAATAAATTCCTATTCCTAATTTGGAGCCCATGTCTCCAGACTGGCCCCTGTAACGGCCTATGTGAACCTTCTATGTGAACTTTCTATGTGAACTTTCTATGTGAACCTTCTATGTGAACTTTCTGTGTGAACCTTCTATGTGAACCTTCTATGTGAACCTTCTATGTGAACTTTCTATGTGAACTTTCTATGTGAACCTTCTATGTGAACTTTCTATGTGAACCTTCTATGTGAATCTTCTATGTGAACTTTCTGTGTGAACTTCTGTGAACTCTATGTATGTGAACCTTCTATGTGAACTTTCTATGTGAACCTTCTATGTGAACTTTCTATGTGAACCTTCTATGTGAACCTTCTATGTGAATCTTCTATGTGAACCTTCTGTGTGAACCTTCTATGTGAACCTTCTATGTGAATCTTCTATGTGAACCTTCTGTGTGAACCTTCTATGTGAACCTTCTATGTGAACTTTCTATGTGAACCTTCTATGTGAACCTTCTATGTGAACCTTCTATGTGTAAATCTTCCCTGTTCAAATATGGTAAACAGAAAGTTGCTAACCCTGTTGCCACACCACGCCCACCCGGTCGCACCACGCCCACCCGGCCGCACCACGCCCACCCGGTCGCACCACGTCCACCGAGCCACATTACACCCACTGACATAAGGAACAGAAGTCAGTAAGAGTTAAGAGGGAGAAAGGTCTTTTCTTCAAAAGTTTGCTTTCAGTCAGGACACCACAGTTGTCTCACACATGCAAAAGAAGAATAAGAATGGCTTCCTCATGAGCACATTACATATGGCTGCAGAGGTGAGCTCTTCGGAGCTCCATCATCATCATCATCCTTGACTACAATGCCAACAAAGGAGGAGTAGAAAACCTTGACAAAGTAACAGACACAAACAGCTGCAAGAGCAGAACCTCCTGCTGGCCGCTTGTGATATTCCACAAAATCAATGACATATCAAACTACAATGTCTTTATGGACGGAGCTGAACCCGACCTGGCGCAAGCAGGAGGAACTGGAGGAGGTTCTTTATGGAGGAGTTTGGAAAGGCCCTTGTGACTCTCTGTATGCAAAGGAGACACCAGCTTAAATATCGTCATCATAAAGGCTTTTGTTTTTATGTGTTTTGTAAAACAGGACATGATACTGTGTGACAGCAGATGTTTTGTTTTTTTTTCAGACTGTGAAGGCTAAAGAAATGAACAGTGTGTAAGGGATAAAACATTGAAATTAGTCTTTTTTTTTACACACGCCAAAATGTTCTTCTCAGATATGAAATAACTGAAACAAGTAGAAAATCAGTAATGCTGTCAGGTCCCCAAAGTCTGTCCAAAAAGGAACTGATGGACCAATGGGAAAACTCTCTTTGTTTTGAAGAAAGAATAGTACAGTTGGTAAATACAGTGAGTGGACATGAACTGTACCCAAATGACAGAATCACCCAGAAAGAAAAAAACTAATAACGATTTTTTTTTTTTTTTGTAAAATAAATGGTATTATAGGCTGCATTAGAATGGAGTGACCTGTATGCACTCTGACTTTGCGCTTGGGCAGGTGAGAGTTCGACTCTCCGCTGTGGTCAGTCAAAGCTGAAACATGAAACCGCTGTGGCCCAGAATAACCCATGAGACAGAGTGAGCAGAACATGCAAACTGTTTATGGCTTCAGAGAAACACCGTGTGTAGTTCTCCGCTCCACTCACCGTTTAAAGCGGCGACACTGCGCGCTCCTGTCCTCTCCTCTCCGTGTGCGCGCCCGTTTTCTGCGGGATCTTGAGCCGGTTTAGAGGCAGAAATGTGGAGTCTTCGATGAGATTCTAAAGTCAAGTGGCTGGTGCTCTGAGCGGACTCTGGCTGCGCATTGACCGAGAACGAAGTGCCCTGAGCGGACACCGGCCCCGTGTGAGTGCCGGAACGGAACGCACACGATGACAGAAGTGGAGGCGTGCCACTGTCACTCAGCGACACTGATCTCACAAAACTCTTCCGTTGGACGCAGCAGGAGTCAGACTTTGATTTAATGAACAAAACTTAAACACTTTTACTTTAGTCTTTACACATCGAGCCCCAGAATGACTCGAGTCTGTGACCCGAGTCTGTGACTCGAGTCTGTGACCGACACGAAGCCGACTGTCTGAACCCCAGACCGAAGACCCAGACCCAAGACCCAGACCCTGGTTTCATCCTGGTCTTGTCCGGGTCTAGTTGTGGTCTAGCCGAGACCCCAGACCCGAGACCCAAACCCAAGACCCAGACCGAAGACCCAGAGCCTGGTTTCATCCTGGTCTAGTTTTGGTCTAGCCAAGACCCGAGACTCAAACCCAAGATCCAGATCCAAGACCCAGGCCCTGGTTTAATCCAGGTCTAGTCTTGGTCTAGTCCTGGTCTAGCCCAGACCCAGACCCAATACCAAACCCAAGATCCAAGACCCAGACCCTGGTCTAGTCCTGGTCTAGTCTTGGTCTAGTCCTGGTCTAGTCCTGGTCTAGCCCAGACCCAAACCCAAGACCCAAGATCCAAGACCCAAGACCCAGACCCCTGGTTTAATCCTGGTCTAGTCCTGGTCTAGTCCTGGTCTAGTCCTGGTCTAGTCTTGGTCTAGTCTTGGTCTAGTCTTGGTCTAGTCCTGGTCTAGTCCTGGTCTAGTCTTGGTCTAGTCTTGGTCTAGTCTTGGTCTAGTCCTGGTCTAGTCTTGGTCTAGTCTTGGTCTAGTCCTGGTCTAGTCTTGGTCTAGTCCTGGTCTAGTCCTGGTCTAGTCTTGGTCTAGTCTTGGTCTAGTCCTGGTCTAGTCTAGTCTTGGTCTAGTCCTGGTCTAGTCTTGGTCTAGTCTGGTCTAGTCTTGGTCTAGTCTTAGTCTAGTCCTGGTCTAGCCCAGACCCAAACCCAAGACCCAAGATCCAAGACCCAAGACCCAGACCCTGGTTTAATCCTGGTCTAGTCTTGGTCTAGTCTTGGTCTAGTCCTGGTCTAGTCCAGGTCTAGTCCAGGTCTAATCCTGGTCTATCTTAAACAAGGTTTAATAAATAAATACAAAACTAAAAGTGACAACAATGACTCGTCTGTTCATTTCATCATATTTTTTAATATTTAGGCAGCACATCTTTGCAGTAAAGACCATGTGTTTTTTTCACTGTTTCAAGAGTTTTATCTATATTTTTAAGTCTGTCTATGAAGTGTGTGTGGACTGGTCCTGTATATATAATGTATATATAATGTATATATATTTATGCATTTACACACAGATATGTGCACGCGCTGATCTGAATGGTTAAATTATGAGCGTGTGCGAGAGATTCAGATGCCCTCCCCTGGAGAGGGAAAGGAGCGAAGGAAGGACACGAGGACACAGATTTAACACGAAACACATCAGATACAGATGTTCTTCTGCCAATTAAAGTCCACACGAAACATCCAAACTGCTGAACCTGTGAGTGTGGGTCTGACCTCTGACCTCTGTGAGTGACTGACATTTTTCTGTTGTTAAAGGGATAGTTCGGGGTTTTTGACATACATCTGTATGTCATCCCCGTGAGCAGTGTTGTGCATCCACACTGACTTACCCCCAACAGCGTCCAGTGAGCTGAGATACTGGCCATTTTCGGTGCTGACAAAAGTAGTCTGGCAAGTTGGCTGGGGACTGTATAATAAAGCGTTTCTTTTCAAAACAATATGTGTTCAAAAAAGTGATATATTTGCATCACAAACCATCGTCGCCTAAAAAGTCAAACCTCATTTTCACTTGGCACTATTTTCTTTCCATTCGTATCACTGCGCGCTGCCGCCAGGTGACAGCCGCGCCTGGTTCACTTTGTTTACTGCTCGGAATGTTAGCGACAACATGTCTGATTACGATACCGACAATAAAGACTTTGCCTTTACCACAAAGCCAAAGGGAGATCTTTATGAACCCGAATATACTGATGAAGAATTTCACCAGATGGAGTTAGACCGGGCAGAGAGAAAGAGAAGAGACAGAGAAGTGGTACAAGTTGAAGCTGGAGCCGTGAGAGACCGAGTGAGCGACAATCACCATCACGTCATTTATAAACTTGTATACAGCGAACATAGAGTCTACACTGTGACTGAAGCATGGACGACTAATAGAAACATGAATCATCCACACGTCCACGTAGCTGCTGCCAATAGTGCACGAGACATTTACAATAGTAATAACAGTCGACTTATAAAGTTACGTTTTGTAGAAGCTTCACTGGTGATATGACACTGAGTGATTTACTGCACACAGAGTTACAGCTGATTCTTGAGCCTGTTCTCTTGTAAACGTAGCGGCACTTCTTCGTTCTTACCTGGTTTGGTTTCCACATTGAAGCCAAAGGCAAGAAGCCAACGTTTCCTCATCTCAAAGTCCGTGACAGGAAAACGGTGAAATGTGTGTGGAGATTCAGCCAGATTTTTGTTGTTACAGCCTGGAGAATCAAGAGTTCGCACCATTTTTTAGATATATTCTTATGTATCTTATACATATATATACTTATCGCTCTAGCTCTCTCGTTAGCTCTCTCGCGTCGCGGTGGTCTGCACATGTAAACACTGCCAAACAACTGCAGAAAGTGATGGATTCGTGCGCGGCTGTCACCTGGCGGCAGCGCGCAGTGATACGAACGGAAAGAAAATAGTGCCAAGCTATAATGACGGCTGACTTTTTAGGCAACGATGGTTTTGTGATGCAAATGTATCACTCTTTTGAACACATATTGTTTTGAGAAGAAAAACACTTTATTATACAGTCCCCAGCCAACTTGCCGGACTACTTTCGTCAGCACCGAAAACGGCCAGTATCTCGGCTCACCGGACGCTGTCGGGTGTAAGTCAGTGTTGATGCACGACACTGCTCACGGGGATGCCATACAGATTTATGTCAAAAATCCCGAACTATCCCTTTAAGTTGCATGTTTTGCTTCTTTACAGATATTCCGTAACAGAATCCACCCCCATGAACAATTTTAGGGATTTCACAAATATTAACAAACATGAACACGACCAAAAGGTAAAGAGGGCATAAATAACGTGTTGGAATCATCCCACCCCTCCTTGAACCGTCACCTTATCGTGGTGAAGGGGTTTGAGTGCCCGAATGATCCCGGGAGCTATGTTGTCGGGGGCTTCATGTCTCTCGTAGGGTCACCCAAGGCAAACAGGTCCGGGGGGACGGGTCAGACGAAGAACGGTTCAGAAGCCCTATACGATGATGTCCACTCAGAGGCCAGTGACGTCGCCCGGATTGGCGTCACCGGGGCCTCACCCTGGAGCCAGGCCTGGGGTGGGTGCTCGTCAGTGAGCGCCTGGTGGCGCGGCCTTCCCCCACGGGGCCCGGCCGGGCTCAGCCCGAAGGAGCGACGTGGGGCCGTCCTCATGTGGGCCCACCACCCGCGGGAGGATCCATATGGGGCCGGTGCAGAGATCTCGGCGGCAGTCGACGGCGGGGGCCTCGGCGACCGGATCTCCGGACATGGAGACTAGCTCTGGGGACATGGAATGTCACCTCGCTGGGGGGGAAGGAGCCTGAGCTTGTGCGGGAGGTTGAGTGTTACCGACTAGATATAGTCGGCCTCACCTCCACGCACAGTTTGGGCTCTGGAACCCAACTCCTTAAGAGGGGCTGGACTCTCCATTTCTCTGGCGTTGGCCGCAGGGAGCGCCGGCGGGCTGGTGTGGGCCTGCTCATTGCCCCACAGCTCAGCTGCTGTGTGTTGGAGTTCACCCCGGTGAACGAGAGGGTCGCGTCCCTGCGCCTTCGGGTCGGGGACAGGTCTCTCACTGTGGTGTCGGCCTACGGGCCAAACAGCAGTGCTGAGTACCCGGCCTTCTTGGAGTCCCTGGGAGGGGTACTAGACAGTGCACCGACCGGGGACTCCGTTGTTCTCCTGGGGGACTTCAACGCCCACGTGGGCAACGACAGTGACACTTGGAGAGGGGTGATTGGGAGGAACTGCCTCCCTGTTCTGAAGCCGAGCGGTGTTTTGTTATTGGACTTCTGTGCTAGTCACAGTTTGTCCATAACGAACACCATGTTCGAGCACAAGGGTGTCCATAAGTGCACGTGGCACCAGGACACCCTAGGCCGGAGGTCGATGATCGACTTTGTAGTCGTGCCGTCTGACCTCCGGCTGCGTGTCTTGGACACTCGGGTGAAGAGAGGGGCTGAGCTGTCAACTGATCACCACCTGGTTGTGAGTTGGGTTCACTGGCGGAGGAGGAAGCCGGAAAGACCTGGCAGGCCCAAGCGTGTAGTGAGGGTCTGTTGGGAACGTCTGGCAGAGCCCTCTGTCAGAGGGACTTTCAACTCGCACCTCCGGGAGGACTTCTCCCAGATTCCGGGGGAGGCTGGAGATATGGAGTCTGAGTGGGCTTCATTCTCGGCCTCTATTGTCAATGCGGCTGCTCGGAGCTGTGGGCGTAAGGTCTGTGGTGCCTGTTGCGGCGGCAATCCCCGAACCCAGTGGTGGACACCGGAAGTAAGGGATGCCGTCAAGCTGAAGAAGGAGTCCTATCGGGCCTTGCTGGCTCGGGGGACTCCCGAAGCAGCTGACGGGTACCGGCGGGCCAAGCGTGCTGCAGCCCGTGTGGTCGCGGAGGCAAAAACTCGGAGCTGGGAGGAGTTCGGGGAGGCCATGGAGAAGGACTATCGGACGGCCTCAAAGAGATTCTGGCAAACCGTCCGGCGCCTCAGGAGCGGGAAGCAGTTCTTCACCAACACTGTTTACAGTGCGGGGGGAGAGCTGTTGACCTCGACTGGGGACATTGTCCGGCGGTGGAAGGAATACTTTGAGGATCTCCTCAATCCCACCGTCACGTCTTCCGAGGAGGAGGCCGAGGCTGGGGACTCGGAGGCGGACTCATCCATCACCCAGGCTGAAGTCACTGAGGTGGTTGGAAAGCTCCTTAGTGGCAAGGCTCCGGGGTTGGATGAGATCCGTCCTGAGTACCTTAAGTCTCTGGATGTTGTGGGGCTGTCTTGGCTGACACGCCTCTTCAACATCGCGTGGCGGTCGGGGACAGTACCTCTGGACTGGCAAACCGGGGTGGTGGTCCCTCTGTATAAGAAGGGGGACCGGAGGGTGTGCTCCAACTATAGGGGGATCACACTCCTCAGCCTCCCCGGTCTGTGCCAGGGTACTGGAGAGGAGAATCCAGCCGATAGTCGAACCTCAGATCCAGGAAGAGCAGTGTGGTTTTCTTCCTGGCCGTGGAACACTGGACCAGCTCTACACTCTCCATCAGGTGCTTGAGGGTTCATGGGAGTTTGCCCAACCAGTCCACATGTGCTTTGTGGACTTGGAGAAGGCATTCGACCGTGTCCCTCGTGGTGTCCTGTGGGGGTGCTCTGGGAGTATGGGGTTCGGGGCCCTTTGCTAAGGGCTGTCCGGTCCCTGTATGACCGGAGCAGGAGCTGTGTTTCGCATTGCCGGCAGTAAGTCAGACCTGTTCCCGGTGCATGTTGGACTCCGCCAAGGCTGCCCTTTGTCACCGGTTCTGTTCATTGTATTTATGGACAGAATTTCTAGGCGCAGTCAGGGGCCGGAGGGGGTCCGGTTTGGGGACCACAGGATTTCATCTCTGCTGTTTGCAGATGATGTTGTCCTGTTGGCTTCATCGAACCAGGACCTGCAATGTGCACTGGGGCGGTTTGCAGCCGAGTGTGAAGCGGCTGGGATGAAGATCAGCTCTTCTAAGTCTGAGGCCATGGTTCTCGACCGGAAAAAAGTGGCTTGCCCTCTCCGGGTGGGTGGGGAGTCTTTGCCTCAAGTGGAGGAGTTCAAGTATCTCGGGGTCTTGTTCACGAGTGAGGGGAAGGACGGAACGTGAGATTGACAGGCGGATCGGTGCAGCTTCGGCAGTGATGCTGTCGCTGTATCGGACCGTTGTGATGAAGAGGGAGCTGAGCCGAAAGGCTCGGGCATCTGTTCCGGATGCCTCCTGGGCGCCTCCCTCGGGAGGTGTTCCGGGCATGTCCCACCGCGAGGAGACCCCGGGGGAGACCCAGGACACGCTGGAGGGACTATGTCTCTCGGCTGGCCTGGGAACGCCTCGGGGTCCCCCCCGGAGGAGCTGGAGGACATGTCTGGGGTGAAGGAAGTCTGCGAGTCCCTACTTAGGCTGCTGCCCCCGCAACCAGGCCCCGGATAAGCGGACGAAAATGGATGGATGGAATCATCCCACAAAAAAGTGACCGTAGTCTCTCTTTTATCTGGGACACGATGATCTTGTGATTTCACCGTGAGGAACCTTTAGCAAAGCGTCTGTACAGCGTCTGCAGCTCTTCTATCGTTAACTAACCCTCACATGAAGGTGAGGGCTCGTTCACCTTTAAAACTGTTCATTTCTTAAACCACGAGTGTCCAAACTTTTTTCATCAAGGGCCATATTTCTAAACCCAGACGAAGCAGAGGCCGATCGAGGGCCACAGACTGGTGCTCAGTACAGAGAATAATTGAAATCTGTGCAGGTTTAACACGTTACAATGAATCATCGCTCCTTTACTTATGCAAAGATCCTCAAAACCACACACTAAATATTAAATATTGGCTTTTTCAAGGTAGATTTACAAAAAACCTGCAATAAAAAGTAAATTTTTCATTGATGCAAAGTAATTATAAAGTATTATACCAAATTATACTAAATTGTGAAGTACAGATCTATTTATTATTTAATGTGTAAAGAGACTGTCCCACGTCCATAAACATGTGTCATATGAAGAGAATGTTTCAGAGAGCACGAAGAGCAGATTTTTATAAGTTTTGCAACGGTTGCTTTTGGAGAAAACATCTGTCATCACACAGTATCATGTCCTGTTTTACATAACTCATAAAAACATAAAAGTCTTTTTGATTTACATATTTTCCATCTTTATTTGTAGAGCACATTTTATAAACAAGACAGTTTCCAAAGTGCTTTATGTAACAATGTAAAACATTTGACTAAAAACAATCTGCAGAATTATGTTGCAACCACCAGGAAACTAATAGAATCAATCAATACAATAATAATAATAATAAATATAGCCGCAAGCGGCAATGATCGGCTCGTGCTTGCGCCACGCCCCGCAAACGCCGCAGCCGGCAAACGCCGCACCCCACACTGACCCCAATAAGCCTAAGCTTAAACCTTACCCTAATCGTAACCCTAACCATAGCTTCAACCCTTGCCCTAAAAATCTTAATCTAACTCTGCAATTTTCAAAATTTGGCAAAAGAAAATATCCAAGATGGCGGACTTCCGGTTTGTAAAGGGGCGTGGTCACAATATACATTTTTGTTCTTATTGCCATGATGCATCTGGATACCAAATTTGGTTTGGCTACGCCAACGTTTGTGTCAGGACGTCCCATTGGCAAGGATACAATTTTGGCTCGTTGCCATGGCAACACAATGTAAATGGGATGTGAGCATCATTGGGTTTTTTAATCGAGACCATGTCACAAATGTGGATACCAAATTTTGTATATCTGTGACAAATAAAACCATATTTTTACATACAAATTTTCTAGGGGGCGCTATTGCACCCATTTTTGTATTTTCTTACACCAATCTGTTCAGGGTCGGGGTGTGAACCCACGGTTAAAATATGAGTGAAATTGGCCAAAGTTTGTGCAAATTATCAGTCGTCGAAGTTTGATGGTCACACCGTTTGACCTTTTAAAAAGCTTTTAACAAATTTTAATGTCCCACTTGTCTAGATGATACAGAATGATTCTGTCTGGGTCAAACGCCCGAGGACGAGTTCGTTCAAATATGAGGACAGGAACTTGTGCCTTCGTCGCCAGGTCGCCCGATCAATCCACTATGGTCGACTTCCTGTTGGTTGCCTAGCAATAATTCGTTATTCGTTCGTAATAATAATTGGAGCAAAAACAATATATCCGAAAACATTAGAACAACATATTATACGTTTTTTGAAAGCTCTTGACCTTCCCCACGTCACCGTGGGGTCATTGGTGAGTGACGGGCACTGACGCGCTCCTCATTCGCCATCTCGTCGAGGTCACCCATCGCCTTCCATTGACTTCCATTCATTTTAGCAGTAGTAAATATGGCTCAGGCCTTGGGCGTGGGTTACTGGGATACTGCTGTTCGTGCCGGGGCGACCGTGGACATAGTTGCATGTCGTCTTGTCGCATTCGGACATGCGCACGTCGCTCCCCATTTGCTCCGCTTAGCGGAAGCAATAGGCCCTACGCCCTGTCGGGGCTCGGGCCTAATTACAAGAAAATAAAATACTGCATGTTTAAAAAAAGTTCTCGCAATTATGAAAAATGCTTTTGTGAAGATGAGGCACAGGGTCCTCAGGGTCAGGACATTTCAGGATCTTTCAGAAGACTTCATCATGAAGCTGTGAGAGAAGACCAAAGCAGAGCTATCACAAAGCAAAGGGAGGATACTTGAGAATTTGAATTCTAAATATAACAATTTTAGACTGACTAGTTCAACTAGCCAGTCAATTGGACTAGTTAAACTAGTTAAAGTTTTATCTTATCTTATCAAAATGAACCTCTTTGAACTAAAGAGGTACCCTCTGGTAATGAAAGAAAAATCAACAATAGTCACTGAAATAACTTGAAACTGAGAAAAGCAATAATAAATTAAAGCCGCAAGCGGCGTCGAATGGCCTTCGCCCACCATGCCCACAATCGCCACGCCCACGAACGCCGCGCCCGCAAATCGTGCAACCTACCAACACCATACCCTAAACGCCGTGCCCGCAAAGTCTGTGCGAAATGGCGAAATGACATAGTACGCCTTTAAATGTTCTTTGCTCCCCCTGCTGGCCAACCTTGAAAAATGCTCATGTCCACAATATACTTTTTTGCTCGTAATCATAAATAGAATGTAATTGCCAAATTTGGTGCAGATCCGACAATGTTGACGTTTTATGTCTATGGTAGGGGGCGCTATAGTGTTCACTTTTCATATGTTTTATAGTGTATTATATTCAGACTGAGATCACACATTAGTGATTCAAATTTCAGCTTGATCGGACTAAGTCTGTGCGAACAGAGCAAATAATGTCACCTTGAAATTAGGCAAAATTCTCACTGAAATTTGCGGCTTCGCCGCATGTAAACCGTGACAGTTATCAACATAAATCAGCTAACTTTAGATGTTTCACTTCTGTAGATGATGTACGGTGATTTTCAGCCCTGTGGGTGAAGCGCCTTCAGTGGAGTTCGTTCAAACACAACGTCAGCGAAAACGCGGACTCAAATTTCAATCCAAGATGGCCGCCTTCTGGTTTGTCAGGGGGCGTGGCCATAATCATATTTTTTGTTTGTCTTCACATGACGAATGTGTGTACCGAATTTCGTGGCTCTACAACAAAGTTGACCGAGACATCTCCCATATGGGCAAAATTTTTGAATTTTCCAGGTGGCGCTGTGTCGCCATTTTTTTATGCCCGTGTACGAAATCTATATTTTATCGAATTTTTCGCCACTTCTGAATATTGTGCCAAGTTTGGTGAGTTTTTGAACGTGTTTAGCTGGTCAAATTAGACCTCAAAGAGCAATAATATTTTTAGCAAAAACAATATATCTGAAAACATTAGAACAACATATTATACATTTTTTGAAAGCTCTCGACCTTCCCCACGTCACCGTGGGGTCATTGGTGAGTGACGGGCGTGTCTGGACCATCTCGTTGGGGTCGCCCCCTGACCTCCCATTGACTTCCATTCATTTTAGCAGTAGTAAATATGAGCCAGGCCTTGGGTGTGGGTTACTGGGATACTGCTGTTCGTGCCGGGGGCGACCGTGGACAATGTTGCATTGTCGTCTTGTCGCATTCGGACATGCGCATGTCGCTCCCCATTCGCTCCACTTAGCGGAAGCAATAGGCCCTACGCCCTGTCGGGGCTCGGGCCTAATAAAAATTTATTGAAAATGAATATTATAAGATCAGACACTGTTTTTGAATTGTGCTTCAACAGAATAATAAAAAAACAACAACAATCAAACAAAACAAAAAAAACTAACTAATGAAACTGGCCTGGACAAAAATGATGGTACCTGTAGAAAAGATTATAAATACTTGGACAATAGGGACATGTTAAACTTTAGTGTGTCTCTAATCTGCATCACAGGTTCTTCACGGTCGCCCGGGCCTTTCTGTGTGGAGTTTGCATGTTTCTCCCCGTGTCTGGATGGGTTTCCTCCGGTTTTCCCATCAACCCAAAACATGCTCCAGGTCCAGAACAGTTGATAGTCAAGGGCAGTTAAATACAATCAATCAATGAACCTGTCCAGGGACGACAGGTGGAAATTAGCACTGATGCTACAACCTGATGTACAAGCATCTCTCCTGTCAAGGTTAATGCGAAAATTGTGCGCTGTCCCTGTCTCAAATAAAAAAAAAATAAATAAAATTAAAAAAGAACCTGTGATGCAGATTAGAGACACACCGAAGTTTAAAATGTCACTATTGTTCAGTTACTTACAATCTTTTCTAGAGGTACCATCATTTTAGTTCAGGACAGTTTCATTATTATTATTATTATTTTATATATATATAAATAATTCTGTTGAACAACAAATCAAAAACTATGTCTGATTTTCATTGGTTATTTTGTCAGGATTTTTAAAAATGTATTATTGCTTTTCTCAGTTTCAAGTTATTTCATTGGCCACTGTTGATTTTTCTTTCCAGACCAGAGGGAACCAACAATTTTGTCCACGTCTGTATATACATGTGAAGTGAGTAAGGTTTTTCTAGTAACAATTGTTGCAGTTAGAAATGGTTATAAATTCCATAATCCTACATAATGCCTCTTTAAAGTTCTTTGACAGTGATATGTGTGTGGGGGTGAAGCGACTGTGAAAAAGCAATTATTTATTTATACTGACAAAGAAAACGTTGAACTTTGTGCCAGTTTTGGTTTCATCTGCCGTCTGATTTCTAGCTTTGTTTTTGTTCCTTATTCATCAAACAAAAGACCATTATCTTTTAAAAGTGTTTAATCATCATCATCATCATCATCATCATCATCATCATCATCATGTAGCTGCTCACTTCAGCTCCTCGTGCGCCACACATCCAGAATGAGGCCTTTAGATTTAATGTGTATGTAAACCAGGACTAAACCAAGATTAAACCAGGATTAAACCAGGACTAAACCAAGAATAAACCAGGATTAAACCAGGATTAAACCAAGAATAAACCAGGATTAAACCAGGATTAAACCAAGATTAAACCAAGAATAAACCAGGATTAAACCAAGACTAAACCAGGATTAAACCAGGACTAAACCAGGATTAAACTAGGACTAAACCAAGATTAAACCAGGACTAAACCAAGATTAAACCAGGACTAAACCAGGATTAAACCAGGAATAAACCTGGACTAAACCTGGACTAAATCAGGATTAATCCAGGATTAAACTAGGACTAAACCAGGACTGAACCAGGACTAAACCAGGACTAAACCAGGATTAAACCAGGACTAAACCAGGACTAAACCAGGACTAAACCAGGATTAAACCAAGATTAAACCAGGACTAAACCACGACTAAACCTGGACTGAACCAGGACTGAACCTGGACTAAACCAGGATTAAACCAGGACTAAACCAGGATTAAACAAGGACTGAACCAGGACTGAACCTGGACTAAACCAGGATTAATCCAGGATTAAACCAGGACTAAACCAGGACTGAACCACGACTAAACCTGGACTAAACCAGGATTAATCCAAGATTAAACCAGGACTAAACCAGGACTAAACCAGGACTAAACCTGGACTGAACCAGGACTAAACCAGGATTAAACCAGGAATAAACCAGGATTTAACCGGGACTAAACCAGGATTAAACCAGGACTAAACACAAGCATCTGATAATTTTACAGTTTCACCTGGTCTATGGCAGCTCTGTTTTGTCTTGTTGACTGTTTTCACACTGTAAAGACACTGTGTTCAGTACAGCGGACAGAACAGACAGAAACCCCGCTAGAGCGTCTTCGTCTCTGGGCCTCTGCCTCATTGTGATTTGAATATGTTTTTCACCCTCCGTCCCATCAGTGGACAGAGACAGTCCCGTATCCTCCTGTAACATTTGACTGATATCCAACGTTTCATTTGAATAAAGCAGCTCTGCCAAAATGAGAGTCCCTTCAGCAGTTTCCGTGGAATTTTCCGGTTGCGTGTGAGTGTACAGGTAAAATTTCCACGGAACGACGCCGGCAGGTGTGAACGCCATGGTTTGGATGTTGACGAGTTGCAGCGCCACCTGTAGGCTGTGAGGGGAGTCCACAGGGATCACAGAGCACGGAATGAGCCGCTCCATGCACAAAAAGTCAGCTTCGTCAGTGTTCTGAGCATCTAAAAACACAAAAGTCAAACTCAAAGAGTGACATACACAATGCATTTATTTAGAAAACAGAAAACAATATGTACAACTCAACAACATCGAATCAGAAAGGTATGATATCAAATGAGGTGTGCCCCAAGGCTCGATTCTTGGGCCCAAATTATTTATATTGTACATGAATGATTTTGTTGAAGTTTCCGAGCTTGGGAAAATTCTATTTGCTGATGACACATTATTTTACTCTGGAAAAGACATAAAAGAGGTCACAAGTTAACAAAGAGCTAAGAAAAGTAAAATATTGGTTTGATTTAAATGGATTGATTCTGAATGTTAAAAATAAATTTCATTTTATTTAATGATAAAAAGAAAAAAGACAACATAACATTAGAAATATATGGATACAGATTCAAAGAGTAAATGAAACCACATTTTTAGGAGTCATGATTGATGAAGGTCTAAACTGGAGTTTGTCTCATATAAATTACACAAAAGGCAAAATTTCCAAAGCCGTTGCTGTTCTGCATAAAGTTAAGTTCTCACTAAATAGTACAGCATTATTAACTTTGGGTCCAGTCAAGTGGTAACGGAGGGAAACGGGCAGATATTTGACATTCAAATGTCTCTTATTCAGAAACTAGAGGGACTATTGAAATAAGTAAAGTATCAGAATGTAGGAAAGAGTTACACTCCAACAGGGTCAAGTTAAACCTGTGATATTCTTTCAAGTTGATGACAAAAAATTTAAAAACTCATGAAATATGCAGCACTTTTTGGGCAATAAATCCAAACAGTGATAACTCTTGGTTCTCACTTCCATATCCTTAACAAACTGGTTTGAATATTTGCTTCATATAGTTTTCTACCATATGGTACAAGATTAGGTTGAAAAACCTCTTGACTTTTTGAGTCATGAGAATTTTTATTAAGAAAGGTCATGGTAACGGAGGGAAAATTGTGCAAACAAGTAGAAGGTGCAGGATTTTACATAATTTGTCGCTTTTTTCTTCTGAATATTTTAATATTACTTCAAAATGAAAGGAAACTATTTCTATAAAATATGTCAGTCCTTCCAAGCAAATTTTTATCATTTTAAATACTTTTTTTTTGAAAAATCATGTACCTTCATCAGCAGTTCAAAGATGGAATAACACAAGATATAATGAATTACATCCATTTATTTGACATGATTTTCAGGTCTTTGAAATTTGGGAAATAATTTTTGTTCCATGTTTCATACATGGTCTGTTTAAAACATGGATGGAACTTTAGAACCAAAAATGGTACAGAAAAAAGGTCAGCAGTTTCATAAACTAGAGTACATATGTATCTGTTCAATACATTTTTATATCAGATGCATTCACTTGAATTTTTGGCCTTGATGTTTACTTCTGCTTGACCGGGACCAGATCTGCACCAGATCTGATGGACTGTGTAGAAATTTGGGGGTCAACATGTAAAACTTACCTACAGCCTTTATTTATTTTACAAAAAAGGGCCTTGAGAATTATCACCAACATTTTTTGTAGGGAGCCATCCAACCCAATATTTGTTCAACTTAAAGTGTTGAAAATTCAGGATATTGTCGACTTAAGTCTCCTCAAAGTCATGTGTTAAGCAAAGTGCAATTTATTACCTGTAAATAAATATTCAAAGACTGTTTGAGATGAGAACAAAACACTACAATTTAAAAGGAACCTACATGTTTCCAAAACCCAGATTCAGAACCGAGGTTATGGAGCGAAGCATCACTGTGAAAGGAATTAACTTACGGAAGAATCAAGTACAATGACGACATTTAAAAAATACATAAAATCAAATGCAATGTGTCTGTATGAAAAAGAAAACTAAGTTGTTGTGTATAAAAGTAAAGATTATGGTTTGCAATTGATCAGTAATTGTGCCTGAACTGATTTGGAATGTTTAGTAACCATCGGTGTTGGTGTTTTGTCTTGAAAAAGGAAAGGGGGCAGATAACATACGATTTTTTCTTCTTTCTGCTCCTTTTCATTCATTTCTTGTATGTTTGATGTTGTAACACTGTCGATGTCTTTTTATACTTTATGAATGAAATAAATAAACAAATACAAATACAAATTTAGTTTTGTCCCAGTTTTGAGCCTGTGTCCACTGTCCCAGCACATTTATCCAAAACCATTGATGTGTCCCAGTTTTATACAAAAAATGTCCCAGGTCTCCCTATTTTGGACCAATCTGATCCCTGCCAACAGTTAAGAGAGACATAAACTGTCATTTCTCTAACTAAAATACAGAAAACTGTGCTTGAAAATGACCACCAGGGAAAAAATACTCCAACAGAACTCCCTCAGATGATAGTCCAATGAGATTCATTTGGTCTTCCGATATTTTATATTATTAGGTTCTTTTTTCAGACCAAGAGTTTTGTTTCATACCTGACAGTTTCAACTGCTCACTAGCGTCTTCCTCAGAGTGGTCACGTGATGTTGCTGTGACGTGTCTGGTCAGCTGATTTCAACAGGTTTTGGCGCTGTCTTCCTACCGGTGCATCATTCATCAAACATCATTGGGACAGAGGAAAACAAACACAGTCGCTGTATTAAAGAGGCAATCGAAATACGTAAACGTGCCCACAGGACTATAAACCGGGATGAGGGGCTTTTTTACTCTCACACACCTGGGATACTGTCCTGAGGAAGTGGGACTGCAGATGGCGCTGTCGTCCTGCCTTCACCGAGAGGAAGACAGACAAAACCTGTTTAAATCAGTTGAGCAGACACGTCACAGCAACATCATGTGACCACTCTGAGGAAGACGCTAGTGAGCAGTCCAAACTGTCCAAAGGTATGAAACAAAACTCTAGGTCTGAAAAAAGAACCTAATAACATCCCTCAGATGATGACTCGCCCACAAGTGAATCGAGAATATACAATCTTACACGCTCCTGTCACAATTTTATTTATACCAGTCATCCCAACCCGGATGTGTCCCAGTTTTGAATAGAAAATCTGGTCAGCCTATACCTTGTTTTATTATTACCAAGTTACCACAAACCGAGAGTGTCACAGTTTTTAATTTTGTAATTCTGGTCACCGTATCCTAGTATATGGTTCCTACGGGTTTTAAAATAATTCTGCCTTACATTTACATGACAGACACAAGGCTCTCAAAGCACCACTCTGTACTAATGATTCACTCGCTGGTAAACTACATCTGTCCAACCACCATCTCTTACTCACACACATTTATACAAGGCACAGGGGTAGGTAATGTCTTGCCTATGGACACAACAACAGTAAGACTAAGCCTCTAATCACTGCTGCGATACAAGATGGGCTTAGTCGTGGAGCTCATAATAATAATCCGCTTGAGAAACAAAACACAAAATCCCACCATATAAACAACTCTGACCCGCTGCCTGAACACAGAATAAAGGCGTCATAAGAATAAGTGATTAAAAAAAACAAAACTATACCGTTATATGTTGGACTTTTGTTACTCTGAGTGCCCCGCTCCCTTACTCCCTACTGCACACCAGCTCAGGTTTGTGAAGCCATCCTGTACATTTTGATCATGTTCATATATATTTATGGAAAATGGTTGAGTGGAGGGTGGGTGAAACAGGTTTGTGGGTGACGTGGGCTTGTGGGCGGAGCCTTGGACAGGGTCATACTGTTGACCATAAGAAGGGTTTGAATAATGCCTGGGAGAGATCACTAGATTACTCAATGCATGTAGAAAGTGTATTTTGCATAATAGCCTCTCTTTAACAATATTATGTTTAGATACTCCCGTCTGTATTGAATATTATCGCCCTATAGAATGTTGACATGTCATCTGAAACTCAGCACTTTCATGTTTTGTTTCTGTGATGTGTGTTACCTTTGTGTGTGTGTGAACTTTTTAAGTGAAGCCACAGGTCCTGAAAGGCCTCGGGGCTGAGGGCCGGAGACAGAGACAGACACACGGCTGCACCCAGAGGCCCCGAGCACCGAGCAGCATCATCTGAAAGGAAAGAACTTCATCAGGTCTCATGGTTAAAAGCTCAAAAAAGTCATTTTTGAAATAATATGTGTTCTTTAATATTGCCCTACAAAGGTAAAAGAGCTTAATTCTCAAGAGTGTGAAACTGAGAAAAATGACTTCAATGTTTCTGTTTAGTCCAAACAGGGGCAAACAAATGTGATAACTAGTTACTGCAGTGAAGAAATATTAGTATGTGAAATATATTGAGCTCAAAATGGACTTTTGACCCTTATTTGTCAGTTCCTGTTCTCTGGCTTTGGATCATGAACCAAAAATAAGGAGTCATGCAAAGACAAAAGGCAGAAATGGACATGATCATTATTTGCTTGATTTTCTCCAGACTTTCATCCATTCTAAGAAAAACACGTCACCAAGCTCCAGTCATCATGTGTTTGTTTGAAATGATCTAGAAGAGTTTTGGATTTCCTGTTTAGTGTTGATCAGGATCATGTGGCGACACTTCCACAGTGAAACAGTTTAACATAAGTGACTTTGCAGTACAGTGTGTACAGTATGATCCTGTGCCAAGGTAAAAACAAAATGGAGTCCAGAGGTTGGATTTTAAAGTAAAATATATTTATGAACTAAATCACAAACAAAACATACAGTTTCTGTCTTTTGTCTTTGCATGAAAACTTATTTTTGTCTCATGATACAAAGGCAGAGAACAGGAACTGACAAATAAGGATCAATTTTGAGCTCAATATTTTTCAAGATATTTATTCACATGATAAAAGAGGTCTCAAATACCAACAAAATGACATGAACTCATTTTTGACCAAACATGATGTTATGGCATTTTGCCTTTGTAGGGCAGAATAGCTCATTAAAAAACACAGTCCCCATTCTTACCTGCGGGGGTGCTGTCCACCTGACATGTTTTCAGCTCCTGGCTCAGGTCAGTCTTGGGGTCAGAAGTTTACATGTTCGGGGCTCCCTCTGGTGGATGAGTCAGGCGTAGCTGTGGCTCCACACAGAGGCTGCAGTGTATTGAATCTCTGAGCCCAGCTGTGAATGCTCTGCTGCGGGGGGCCGATCAGCACACCGAGCCCAGGGTCAGACCTCCGTACCTCAACGAACTGCCGTGTCTCCTCCATCCCACAATGCAACAGGCGGTAGTAGAGCAGGGCCTGGTCGCGCACACACATGTCACTCTCCTCCTCTGAAACAAGAAACCATCAAGGAATGATACTGAGAGTCATAATCACTATATCCACCAGAGACTGTGTAAACAAGTGGACTAAGTGAGTGTGACGTCACTGCAGTGTTGGCCCCAGTCACATGAAGCTCATCGAGGCTTGCAGTTTCAGGGGTCATTTTGGAGTGGAGTTCCATATCTGCAATTCCCACTACAAGTATCATAGCAACCAAAGAGCCAATCAGGAGAGAGGCTGTTGGAGGTAATGCCCATTCCCGCCCCACCGCTGATTTGGTTTGTAGCAAGAGCGACCTCAGGGAAAGAAGGCCCCTCTGTTATTAATGTTCATATTGTGATTTATGGATAAAATAGTGAAATAAAAGGATCAGAATCATGTAGAGCAAGTTATGTTATATATATGAATATGAACATGAAGACCATGACGTTACAGAGAGAAGGGTAGCATTTATTCAGTTCAATTCAATTCATCTTTATTCCGGACTCATGGCCAATTTTTAAAACACGCAAGGACAGTGACAATACAAAACAACAAACATTTATGTTTTTAAAAGACAGCCTCACCAGTGTCTCCACATATTGGACTGATGTGTGAAGAACGTCTTCAAACAAACTAACACTTGTCCAGTCGACAAACTGAATTTTCTCCTCGCCATATTGGACTGATATCGTGTTGCACTGAATCTCAAATTTGTGAGTGACATTATCATTTCATTGTTCGATTTGTTTAGTCTGCAAATAAAACTGTACATTGAAGTTCTTAGTGGCGCCTGCAGAGTGTTCACTTGTGCAGTAACAAACATCTCAGTCGCACTCGTCCATTGTGGTCTCCTCAAAAGCCCCCATAAAGCATCACTGTAGACACAATCTTTGCAGACTAGCTTTTTTGTAATTAATCCAGAGGTGGGCTGTGTACAATGAAGTACAATATAATTTAAACAATAATAACTTTACATCATTTGTATCAGAGCCAAACTTGAGCATAAGAGTATTTGATTCGGCTGAGCATAAAGCGTCCAGTGCATCCTATATTACACAAAATGGACTCTTGTGAGCTTTAGGACATGTTAAAGTTATAATGATGTTACTTCATCAAAAACAGACTAGAAATTGAGTTTTGTTTTATTCACACATTTAATCGTGAATATTTGGCCCGATTTCTCCACTCATTCTGTTCCACCTTGTGATTTCATGAAGAACATCTTTTCCCTGTAGTTCAGTAGAGATGATTCTAGTGAAGGTGTACAGACTTTAAAAACACAGTGGAGCACTTTCTGTATCACCACATGACATCACAAGGTGGAACAGAGTGTTTTCTGTTTGAGAGAAGAACTCAGCCTAAATATGCAGGGTTTATGTGAGTGAAACAAAACACACCTCCAGGTCATCATTAGAACATAGATCAGAAAACAGGGTAATATGGGACCTTTAAATAATGGGATTCTGTTCAAAGTTCACATTTAAAACATGTCCAGAAGAAATGACAAACAAATACACGAATCACAGATCTACCGGTTTAGCAGCTTTTTTTTTTTTTTTTTTTTTTTTTTAAACTGTCATTTCGATTTAATTGAGATTAAATTTGCAGTGTCAGGTTCAACCCTGCTCCTTTCTGTGGGAGGCTTGAAAACACCTTTGTCTGGAGCTGGACCATACAGGGTGACAAACAAAATGGCTCTGAAACTTCCTGCAACTAAATCACAATCACAAAGGCTGCACTTTTTGAAGACATTTCTCTATAAACAACAAATGCCTGTAGTTTGGTTGTGTACATGTTCTAAAACAAGACTGAACCAGGACCAAACAAGGACTGAACATAGGAAGAAAACCTGAAGTAGGTCTACTGTAGTTTGTCAGTTCATATTTCAGTCTTCTTGTCTTTTCTCCTGGAAGCAGTTCAAATATTCAATTAAAGCCACGCGCTGCGATAGAACTTATTCCCTGAATTTGGTACAAATCCAATCATGTTGACATTCCATGTCTATGGTAGGGGGCGCTATAGAGTTCACTTTTCATATACGTTATAGTGTATTATGTTTAGGCCGTGATCAGGCATTAGTGATTCAAATTTCAGCACAATCGGTCTAAGCCTGTGTGTGTGTAATAATTTTTAAACTATTTTTTGGGGGATTCTTTGCGCCCCTATTGGCCAACCATGAAAAATGCCTCATGTCCGTAATACACTTTTTTTCTTGTAATCATGCATAGAATTTAATCACCGAATTTGGTACAAATCCGATATTGTTTACTTTTCATGTCTATGGTAGGGGGCGCTATAGAGTTCACTTTTATTAGATTTCATATTTCATTACATTCAGGTCTGGATCACACAATTGTGATTTGAATTTGAGCTCTCTAGGACAATGCCTGTGGCCGTGACAGGTCACCGAAGAAACAGGAAATGAAGGCGTTTTTTGGCCGGCGTGCTACGGGCAAACCATAAGGAGTATCAAAAAACCTTCTGATGATTTTTGTGACTTTATGTCTCTAGATGTGACATGTCAAATCTGAGCTCATTTGGACCAAACCCCGGGGACTTGAATCTTTTTGTAGACACCCAAGTCAAAACGGCGGCGAATTTTTGATCCAATATGGCCGACTTCCTGTTCATCATAGGGGTGCACAATGATTGGCTTTTTTTGCTTGTCTCCTTGAGTTCTATCACTGCTCCGAATTTCGTGACCGTACGACAAAATATGTGTCTCAGCCTCCCATTCATGTCAAAATTTTGAAATTTCAAGAGGGCGCTGTTGAGTGGGGGTGCTTTGGGCATTGTCGCGATGCCCATTTTATCGAATTTTTCGCCAGACTGGTCGATCTGAGCCCCGGTTTGGGGACTTTTCGTCCATGTTCAGGGGGTCAAAAATGCGATTCAATGTGACCGACGAAGAACAATAGCCCTCGCCAGTTACTACGTTACTGGCTCGGGCCAAATATTCACTTTGAACAGGATTATTTAAACATAAATCGCTAAACTAATCACAAAGCTTGTCAGAGAAATCACAACTGGATATTTTTCTCCAAATTGTTTTAACCTGCTCGCGACAGACTGATGTGTGTTACTCTGAAGTAGGGCTGTTAGAAAAAATCGATTCAGTGATATGCCATGGTACTTCACTGCACAATTCTTGAATCGATACAAAATCGATTCAAATCAATTTTTAAAATAATATTTTTCACAATAATTCATTAGTTGCATTCACTGTTCTCATGATTTTAAAATTGTACCAAATTATACTTCATACAGTTTTGTTCTCTTGAAGGTGTAGTTGACTGTATTATTAAAGGTTGTTGAAGGATATTTTTTGTTTCAAATTGTCAATGATAGCATTATAGAGGTGCAGTAGCCTTGTAATTATGATGACCAAAAAAAAGAGAATAAAAATTCATCAACTCTGGACGTGGTGGGGCCAGCTAAACATTTGCCAATAGATAACGACACTGCCTTGTTATCTGTTAGCTGAAGTCCGTTTTTGAGGTCGCTGAAAGAAGAAAACAAGGGGAAAAGCAGCAAAGCCAAACTAAGGTGATTCTTGTAGATTCATTCCAGCGGTGGTGCGACTAAGCAGACGAAGGGTCTAAAGACTGACACATTGGTCGCCAAATTACTCCTGGACAGGAAACTTCTGCTTATTATGAAAACGTACTTTATTTCCAAGCTAGACAGCTAGACAAAGCGATATCCTATGTCTGAAAACGTAATTTTCAAGGCAAAGAAAGAGTCCGCTTGCTGCTGCGTGTTGTAGTTAGTTCATTTGCACGGAATCTCGGCGCACCCTTCTCTGCACCCTTTCCTGCTCCTCTCCCCGCTGCCCGTTCCGCTCTTCCCCCTGCTCCTCACTTCTTCACTTCTCCACGCATGGAATCTCCGCGCACCGCTCCCCTCTCCCCGTTCCGCTCTTCCCCCTGCTCCTCACTTCTCCACCTTGCCTAACCAACACTGTAGTTAGTTGTTTACAAGTCATGTGCAGCGATGAGTACTTGTTTTCTAGAAACAAACCTGTTTCTGGCATAAGGAGGAGGAGGGAGGAGGCGTTTCTACGTAGGGAGCTGTGGGGGAGGGGGGGTGGTTTCACACATGCGCAACATTTGAAAAACGACAAACAGTCGCTGGATTTCTCGTTCCTTGGAAAATCCTCTATACAACCTTTAAAAGTCATTATTGATAAATTGCAGTAATCATCCACTGTTTTTGTATTCGGTAGGGTGAACATATTTCCGTTTGTGAAAACCCGGACACCTTACCGGGGCTGGAAGGTGGGGCCTCGACATTGAGCTACAGTCGTCCCTCGATATATCGTGGTTCACCTTTCGCGATCTCGCCATTTCGCAGATTTTTTTTATTTTTTGTACACACGGGAGGGTCAGGACTAAACCAGGACTAATCTTGGACTTAAGAGAGAGAATGCCGAGCAGTTTGTCTGCAAAGCACAATCGGGCAATTGTCGCGTTTACCTCCATGAGGTGTGGAGCCTGCGCAAAAGTTTGATATAATCTCGGGTTAAGGGTCAGGTGCGGTGTTGTACTGTCTCCAAAAATTGAGCCGTGCAGGACTCTGCGGCTCCATTACGGAATAAATGAATCTTCAGTTCATTACATAAAGAACGAGGAAAATAACAAAAGGACGACAGCAGCAATAAGTTTTAAGAAAGATGTAAAAAGGGTTGCACCTCTCCTGTCTGAAAAAAGTGTATAAAGTGTGTGCTGAGGGGTTTTACACACTTAAAACAGATAGAATAATAGTAAAATATAAAGTTGACTACTTCACGGGTTATTTTTAGAACGTAACTCCCGTGATAAACGAGGGACACTGTACTCTCACTTCGCAACCTGTGCACATGGCCTCCCACTTGTCCCGACCGGGATGGAAAACGGAGAATTTCTTGTCCAAGTCATTGTTAAATGTGCATTTGCACTTCGGCATTTTGCAGACTGACCGACTGTTTGTGTCTGCTCGCTCCTTCTGAGTCACAGAGCTACAAGAGACGCTCAGTTTAATGTCCTCAATGAATGGTAATGAATTTGCATCACCAGGACAGGACGCAAAAAACTGACATGTCCGGGGAAAAATGGACGTTTGGTCACCCTAATATTGGGATATACTGTGATATAGCAAATCGTGATGTGCATATCTTGATATGTATCGTATCGTCAGACTCAAGGCAGTGCACATCCCTACTCTGAAGTGAAATCTACACATTTATCTGGAACGGCTCTCACTGAAAGAGAGTGGAAAACACAGAACGTCATGACGACTATTAGAATCTGATTGGTCAAAGCTTTACAACAGAGGAACAAGCTGGAAAGTCACACTGAGCACAGACATCTTCCCTGTCCACAAATGCACAAAGCTCTTCCCTTGGCACGTTTTTCATAAACTAAATAGCAGGGATGTAACAATAAGCGAAATATCGTGATATCATATTGTCAAAGTTCTCACAATAATATCGTGGACCATCACAATGCATCGAATCACAAGTCTCTTTGCTTAAATTATGAGTTATGGTGTAGCAATAGCTAAAAAAAAAAGTTAGAGGGAACTACATAGACCATGATCCTTTGCTTCATTTCAGTGCAGACTGCAAGAAGAAATAACAGTTCTAACACTTTTAAGTCTTAGTTCTTTGGATTAAGTCTTGTTGAGGCATTTTAAGAGGAAAAAGTAGCAAATTAGCCTCCAGAAAATATCGCAATAAATATCGTACCGTGAAATGTGTATTGTGAGAATATCGTACAGAGAGATTTGGATATTGTTACATCCCTAATCGTGAGCCTCCCCATCATATCGTGAGCTTTCCCACGATATCACAATAAATATCGTATCGTGAGGTTCATACTGTGACAATATTGTATCGTGGCACTTGGATATCATTACACCCCTACTAAATAGGCTGTATATTTGTTAAAATTGGCTGAAGTACGTCTGTCAGCGTCTCCATGTTTCCCACGCCAAACCTAAGTGCTGCTTTGTGATTGGTCCGTCTGCTGCGAGGCGAATTTGAACCTTACAGCGGGAGTGTCTCAAGATCCTTCTTGATTCAGAACTTAAGATAATACCTAAACAACAAAGTATCTAAAACAAAAAAGGTAATTTGAGTGCAGACGTGCTCCTACTGTGGGTGGAGATGGTTTGATTTATTTATGGACTTAAGAACGTCATAGGAAACTTGCGGATTTCCGATATTTTTTCAATTTCCTGTTACAAAAACATCAGAGGGAAATCACAATAGAATGACCTCAGTGAATGAAACCAAACACAGTTCCAGGTATGTTTTTGATGAGGGACTAAAATTAGAACAGGGTTAAAAGAGAGAGGTTAATTTTACACGATACAATCCGATTAGAGGGTCTGACCAACGGATAAAATAAGAGAAAAAAAGGTGCACTGTGCCACTTTGGTTGGGGGTCTGTCACCTTTATGTTTCTATGGAAATGTCACTGCTCTGGCTGGAATGTTCCACAGTGTGACATTAAACAGCACTCCCATACATTTATTCAATTACAAGTGGTTTTATAGCTCAGAAATACCTAGAAAAACTTGGGCTCGCCTCTCCGCAGATCTGACCTTTATCTTGAACTGATTTAGTCTCCATAAAGATAGAAAGGTTTAACACCATCCTGAGAAACACTACAGACAAAGCAAGAACATATCCATGGAGAAAAGCAGGTGGTGGATCCTCTACCAGAAAAGTTACACAATGCATCTTTAAAGCTACATTATGTAACTTTCTGGAGGTGGCTTGTCAACTGCATGATTCCATGGAAACAGAAAGATAAAACCATACGTAGTTCATGGAGATTGAGTAGTTTTATCCATATACTGTTGAAGAGTATAACCAAAGCAACAACATTTCCATGGAAACGGACTACTGGCTCTTGGCCAATACTTTCATACATTCTCCATGGAGATAGATACGGTTTATATAATTTTCTGATGTTTGAGGCTTAAGGGCTCAGAAAAGGTCTGTTTTCACCTACCCCCTAGCCCCACCCACTATCTCTGTACTCAGTCATGATTATTTGAAAAAATCAGAAAGTGTGTGACACGTGTAGGGTTAAAAAATGTCACGTCTGTGGCCGTACCGGCTTGTCAAACCTCATCTCACCAGATCTCAGATCTTAGTACTTGGATGGTAGATCACTGGGAACATCCAGTGCCACAGGGGGGCGCCAGTTGCAAAAACTGTCATCGTGTCATTGAGCAAGACACTTCACCTGCATCGCCTAGTAAGAAAGTGGTGTGTGTGTGTGTTGGTGGTGGTCGCACTTTTCTAAAATAATGACTGGATGAAAATCTGCTGCATGTAACAGTGAAATGTGCAGTGTCGGGTCTGTCAGGCAGTGGTCCTGTTTCTATTAAAGGGTTCATATTACACTATTATTTGACCAATGTTATAATGTTGTTTTCTCATCTCTCTTCTCTCAAACACACTCTGTTCCACCTTGTGATGTCATGTGCTCCACTGTGTTTTTAAACTCCATACACCTTCACTAGAATCATTTGGATCATTTCAGCCCTGAAATTTCCAGTCTCTACTGAACTTCTGAAGGTCTGTTAACCTGAACTGCCACTTCATGACATAAAGCAGAGGCCCTATAAGAGCCTCACCCGTGCATATACATGACAGTTTTCAGTTGCACATCAGAACAGCGATGCTAACTGTAGGCACTGTTCTGTCTGAGGCTCTGTTAAAAGAATAAAAAATCTAAAAATCCTGAAAAGATGTTGTTTGAAGCCATACTGTATTTTTTCTTGAGTTTTCAGACAAGCTTCTTTTTGTTTGCTAATCCAGTATGGGAAGTGTGTCATCACGATAACTGCTGAATATTCCACCATAGGTATACATGTAGACAACCCCAGCATGATGTCACTGCAGTATGAAGAAGTGACAGTCCCACAGCTCACCTATACAGAAGTGCAGAAGTCTCCCCAGCATGTCCTGAGTCTCTGCAGGGCGACAGAGGAAGAGGCGCAGAGCAGCCGAGAGCAGCTCCATCTTCACACACAGACTCTGCTCAAAGCGAACGCCATCGATAAAGGCCTCCAGAGCGTACGGAGCCGAGGGCACACGCTCCCCATGGGCTCCCAGCAGCCACAGCAGCGCCTGCCTCCCCTGAGAACACACACACACGGACCTGATGTTGCACCCTCCAAATGTACGACAAGACTCACATTAATTTTAGTTTTGGACAAACTTTTCATTTCAGTTCTTGGTTCGTACATTTTTTTTGTTTTGTTTTGTTTCCCGCCTCTTCATACAATCACAAATCAATACGCTCTGTTCCCATAAGTCCTTGTACATAGATACAATGAAATTCTAAAATAAGTATAAGTATTATTTATCAAATATGGATTTATATTAAATTATTATTATTATTTTTTTAGCTATTTAAATTAACTATTAATTTTGTAATGAACTCTCTAATGGGTTTTATAGTAGAAAAATTCTATTTTTAACGTTCAGGGCACTACACCCTTAGCCTGATTCATCAGCCGGTTTCACTTCGTTTCACTTCGTAGAAACTGTCTGACCTCGCAGTGTTAGGATTCGTTCACTCGACGGTAGGTGGGTACTTTTTATCATTTAACCAATCGCTGTTATTTGGTCGTGACGCATGTAATGCGCCGCTAACAGGGTTAACTGGTATATTAAACTTTTCCCAAATCCCATAGGAAGAAGGACAATAACGTCTTTCCCCTTGATGAAATTCACCAAACATTCTCTTTATTCCGGCTTTAAATCCTCGATCTCATGAATCGTTGACAACACAGAATATATGTCTCTTCGCTGATTGACTGGTGCCCAAACCTGTACTTCTAGGGTTTTGCAAACTGTGTATTGTATTTTTCCTGATCTAGTTGTTGGAGAGAAATGAAACTGAGCGGAGGCACTAGGTGGAGCCAACCTCACCCTCCCCACTAAAATAATGAAATGTTAGCAAAACATTTTTATAGTTTTAAGTGCTCAGTTATCATTAGCATCTAACACTGAACACTGAAGTAGGTATGTTTTCTTGTAAACATAAACAGATGAACAACTAGAATCCCTGATGTATGGACTTCATTCAAAGGTACATTAGTAGGCCAAGACCATTAAGTCACACATGGGTAAATCTACCACTCCTCTTTACTTAATGTCTTAACATTATATATCATGTGCAGAATACAGTACTCTCATTTACAGAGAGCTCTCGTATTGTCTAGAACCACACACTGCTTTATGCAAATACATCAATAACTCAAGTGAATCTCAGTGAAATCTGAAGTCACAAGAAATCATTTCTAATAACTGACTCGACTTTTTTAGCTGTAACACAAACACATTTCTACTTCTTTAACGTAACACTAGGTTTTCCTAATGTATCATGTAAAGATGCATCTTTTCTTGTAGATCGTCTCTTGTTCTGCTTCATGTTCGTCCTCTGAAGATGTGTCTGTGTCTTCGGGCACTACAGGTCCAGCTGCTTGTCCTTCAGAGTCTGTGTCCTCATTCTGACCTGTGTCCTGTGCCTGCATGTCCTCTTCAAGTCTCTCGTCCACTTGACCACTGAGCTCTGTAGAATCACTTTCATCCATCAATTAACTCTGCTCTTCAGAGGTTTTCAGCCTGCGTCTCTACTACAATGTTACTGTCTTTGGATTTGAAGACTGGGGCATATGGACTGAGACGAGCAGTTCATACTCTTCATCACTACTGTCAGAATCATCACCAACAACGTTGTCTCTGCTTGTAGGTTTTAGTTTGTTTACTTGTCTCTTTTGGTTGCATGTCTCTTTTTGTTTTGTAGTGTCTAGTCCATCACCAACATAAGGACAGGGTAATGAGAGATTTTTATAAAGGCTCCTTCACCATCTACTGCTGTCGCACATACACTGGGTTGTCTTTACCACTTTTTTCTTTGTACTTTGTTCTCCAAGCATGTACTTTAAGAGGAGACTGTGAGTGTGTTTGTTCTCTTGGGAGTAGCAGGTCAAATGGCAAAATCAGTTCTCTTCTAAATAACAGATAAAAAGGCAAGAATCCAGTAGATGTGTGAGTTGTATGTGTGTCTTGTTTAAATGGTGTTTCCAGTTGGGTTTTTGAGTTTGCTCCAGTGTCCTGAGCATACTGACTACTGCTGTGTTCAAACACACACACTTGTTTGGAGTAGAATAAGCCTATGCAAACTTAGTCAGTTGTTTATTTGTGCATTTAAGGATCCCCCATAATCTCTCCAAGTGCACAGTGCTACTCTTTCCTGGGTCCACTCTCATAATAAAAGCATAACACCTGGACTGTATATGAACAGTAAATCACATTAACAATCAAAACATAAAAGGGACTTGGTCAAAGTCTATGCTAAAAACTAGCACATCATCAAGATATGACACACATAGATCACCTGTCAAGTCTCCAAGGCAACATTTCAGTAGCACTGAAAGGCATTTCAGCCATTCATAAAGACCCCATGGTGTGATGAAGGTAGTGCAGGCTCAGCTTTCTGGACTGACAAAGCCCTGATGATATGCTTTATCTTAGTCTAACATGGTAAACCATAAATTTCCACCAAGGTTCTGGAGGACCTCCTGTAATTTACAGAACAGGTTGTTGGTCACGGTATGTCTTTTATGTAATTGTCTGTAATCTACACAGTCTTTTTTTCTCACAGTACCTATGACTGAAACATGGGGTCTGATGCATGAACCATTTGGTGGTGCTTAAGAGTGCGCTCTGGTCATGGGGGTGATGAGGTGTTGAGTCCAGCGCGCTGACCAGGTGCAGGGCTGTGACAGAGGCCTATATGGAGGCACTGGGGCTGGGACCCCGAATGCATCCTGAGTCCCATTCATCTTTTGCAAAAACATCGCTTTCCTCTCTCAACATTTGTCTCACTTTTTATTGTTGTTCAGTTGTCAAGTGCAAAGTTCGACTGGTGGATCCCAAAGTTCACTTGTTTCCTCCTTTTTCACTTTGATCTCTGTTATTTGTGCCCTTTTCTTGAATTGCCCATTGTCACTTTATGGCACTTTTGTGATTTCACTCATGTCTTGAATAGTGTCCACACCGAATAATGATCTAAGCACACTTCTGTTTTGTAGTCTGATATCATTGTGTTGCTTTTAACTACAATTGTAATGGATGCCCTTTTTTCACGTAGGTGTACAAGTTGTTGCTTTATTTGCAGTCTCTCTGGCTATGGTGTGTTTTCATTTGGTTCTAGTATTGCATACTGTCCTTGTAACATGTTTTTACTGAATGATTCACTTTGATGCTGGTGCATCAAAGTGATTTGATTTGGTGCTTTGCAATGACAACAGAACAGACAATAGTTTCTTCCTCGTCTGACTGTTTGGCTTTCTGCTGTACTTTTATCTTTGCTGAGCACAGAGCATACCTTTTTGTGAGCTACATCTCGCACTGACTCAAGACTGTGGAAGAACTTCTTGACATAACCAGAAATGGCATTAACAGTTCTCTGTCTTTATTTTCTATTTTCTATAGATCCAATATCTCCAAAGGGCTCTTTTACAGGGCCAATCTCAGCATTGGGTAAAAACACTTGAGAATCCCAAAGAGCAGATGTAGCACTGCACTAGACTTTTGTATCCATCAGTTTACCTTAAATGCACTTCATTGCAAATATTTCACATTTTACAAAATACAAATGCCTCTTGTGAGTTTTTAGCTTTATTCTGATGTTGTGACCTGGAGTTGTGTTTTGTTTCATTCACACATGTTTGATTGTTATATATATATATATATATTATTATTATATATATCTTTATTATTGGTCTGTCCACATCTCCAAAGCTCCACATGCTCTGTCCCACCTTGTGATGTCATGTAGTGATCATTTTCAAGTGAACAGGATAGTTGTGAACTTGAAATCTTCAAGGTGCAGGACTTTAAAAATTACAGTGGAGCACAATATTATCACATGACATCACAAGGTGAAACAGAGTGTCTCAGCCTAAATATTGTGGGTTAAACATGTGTGAATGAAAAAAAACACAGCTCCAAGTATGAATGATGAATCATTCTGACATAGATCAAAATCTGACACAGATATGGGCCCTTTAAAGAGCATAGGACAGGTTTTCGTGATTTTCTTAATAGGACTTGGTTTGGTGGGATAGTATGAGTGATCAATATTTATCAGTTTTCCACTAGTTAAGTGACAGTTTGTGGAAAAAAGTTGAGAAGAAAAGTACAAAAATTCAGGAAGTCGCACAGAGTTCCAAAACAGAATCCCTCTATGTCATCATCACAGAAAACTCCAAATATCGAAAATGCAGAGACAAGTTTAAGCACAAGGAAAGACTTTTTCTGACAGTTTAATCCATCATTTATTTGTATTAGTCTAATCACAACTATTGTGTAGCAGTTATGGAATTATCTCTATGTTTTAGTGAAAAGGTGCTCCAACCGGTGATATGTGCTTAACACAGACAGAAGGATAGGAGGGCATCTGACACACTGGGATACAGACTGCTGTGATTTCATCTGGAATAATTTGTATAATGTTTACATACAGACAGAGAGTTTTTAGATGGTGTCTCTCTCTTCTCTTTCTTTTCACATTTGTTTATTCAAAACAGAATCAAGAGAACAGCATGGGTGTCACTGCTTATAGTGTCATTATTTACAGTGTAAAATTCACACTGTAAAGTTTACACAGAAGACACAACGCACGAGCATGAGCTGATGGTCCAGTTTTAGGAGTTTGATTTTCAACCAATGTATCAGCACATATCATCTCATCTGTTGTGATGAGTTCTTGTAGAGAGCAGAGCAAAAAGAGCCACACAATCAAATCAAACCTGCTGACACTGTGTTTTAGCCTGCATTAACCAACAGTGTTGGGCTGATATTTAGTTTGGACCAACCCAAAGATTTATTTACTTTACTACAAAGAAGACACTGTACAAAATGTGATTACACAGATCTTGTGCCCAGTCTGTTGTAAAACAGGTTTGTAAAGGAGTTTGACCTAAATACCTTAACAGGTTGGCATTACAATCAGAATCAGTAATGGCAACAAAGTCCACAATGTGTTTTTTTTCTCCTGACAGAAAACACCGTGTCTTACCTGTTCGTCCTGTATTGTTTGCTCACAGCCTTCAATGGCGCTGCACACAATGTCTGAACACTGAGGACACGCCCACACCAGGTCCCGAAGAGTCTGGACCACAGCTGCAGGTGCACAAGAACAAACAGGGGAACATGGACAGATTAGTCAGTAACACACAGGGAGGGCATCTGATCAATCAGCAGTTACCATGGAAACACAATGCACACGTGTTAAGGGTCTAGTTTAGAAGTTAGATTTTCAACCAATGTATCGACACAAATCATCTCATCTGTTGTGATGAGTTCTTGTAGAGAGCAGAGCAGAAAGAGCAACACAATCAAATCAAACCTCCTGACACTCTGCCTTAGCTGGAATTAAGACAACAGCGTGTGGCTGATATTTAGTTTGGACCAACCCAAAGATTTATTTATTTTACTACAAAGAAGACACGGTACAAAATGTGATTACACAGCTCTTGTTCCCAGTCTGTTGTAAAACAGGTTTGTAAAGGAGTTTGACCTAAATACCATAACAGGTTGGCATTACAATCAGAAACAGTAACAGCAACAAGTCCACAATGTGGAACCTTTTCATCTCTTGTTTGGGACTAACTGCACAAACTTGTCATATTAATCTTCTGTCTTACAGGCAGCTGATGGCTGACAACAATCACCTCTTTGAGGTGAAGATGTTGAGCTTTGTGCCAGTTTTTGTATCATGTGGATAGGCCCAGTAAATACAGAAATATAAGAACACACATCTGCATCTGACACTTACAGCAAACTCCAGCTGAGACTCTGAGCTGTCTGCAGCTCACATTCAACTAGTACAGGAATTCTCCCAAAGTGTTGATGTCACGTGAACATGTGTGTCAATATTGGGACTAAATCTGAACTACTTTTCCAGTGATGCCACAGTGCCCCCTTCTGATGATGTGAAGCAAATACACATTTGACTTTCAAATAAAGATTTAGAGAGAAGACTGCAACCTGAGCAGCTACACTAATACAAGAACACCACATCCATCCATCCACAGGGAGGGCGTCCGACACACAGAGAGTCCTGTTTAGGAGTTTGATTTTCAACAAAAGGTGAGAATGATTCACTCTGTGACTAACAACTGTTGGCTAATGCTAGTTAGCTTGTAATTGATTATTTGAGAGGGACGTGTTCAACAGCACCAGCTCCTCTGTTGTACTTCAGCTAAGTCAGTTGTTTCTGGTCAGACTGTGATAAAATCAAGCTCAGAGTAAAGTCTAACAGAGACAGACAGAGCAGTGTCTACAGTTAGCTTCACACACCCAGAGAATGTTGATTACATTGCAAAGTATTAATTACTGATGGAAATTAAATCTTTGATTCCACAGAAATACAAAGTTCTCCTCCTTGAGGACAGAGAAGTCAGGTTTGTGGAGATGCAAGCTCACACAAGTTTTTCAGTGCAATAAACACAATAATACAAATTAATAAATGATTTTGGCTACAAAGTTACATACTGTAGCTTTAATAATGCCATTTGTGACCTTTTTATTTAAAAGGTCTTTCCATGTTGGTTTTAGAGTCTGTGGAGTCCAGATAACAATTACAATGATCACAATATAACTATCATTTTCTTTTACAGTCGATACAATTTGTCGATTAATCGTTGCAACAGTAGTATTGATATTGGGGATAACCCTCTGATATCACAAATACTGATACTGGGATATATTGATATATATTCTTACCAGAGGTGATGTGTTCCTGTTTCAGTCCGAGGAGTCCGGTCAAGATTTCCAAACATTTGTCGCTGTAGCTTCTTCCAATGCGCCCTGCAACAAAACAGGAGGCAATTAACTCCAATTCTCTCATTATGAACCAATGCAATCAGCAGGTAATGAAATAAACAGTCTCGTCATATCACTGCACATTGCACAGCACGACTTTGAGGTAAAACAGGGCAAGGAAAATTCATTATTCTGTGTAAATCAGATTTTCAGAGCTAAAATTGTGTTCCCATGAGCATTTATAAAACAATAAACAGTGTTGGAAAAATCATACATATTAATAAACTGTCTACTGGAAGGAAGCAGTTATTTTGAGCACATTTATTACATCTGTTAGGTCAGATATTCTCCTCATCACAAACATACATGGAGTTGCATTAACACACAAACCCTGGAGGTTTAGGCTTGAGTTCTTCTCTCAAACAGAAAACTCTGTCCCACCTTGGATCATTTCAGTCCTGGAATTGTCAATCTCTGCTCAACTAAAGGTAAAAGGAACTGTTGCACTTTATGACATCACAAGGTGGAACAGAGCATTTGGAGCTTTGGAGATGTAAACAGACTAATAATAAAGAGTTGCTTAAACATGTGTAAATGAAACAAAACACAACTCCAGGTCTGTTTTTTCAAGGTGCTATATTTCTGATCAATCCCTGTTTTCAGTGGCACCGGGACACACCATTGCTCTGTACTTTACTTCAGTTTAGATAACTTTCATTTATCACCAAAGAGCAATTATGTTTGCAGTCACAGACTGCAGCATAAAAAACACACACATACACACAGGTCAGGTGCAAATGAGACATACAATTCAAATGTGGCACAAACGCCAGATGCAAAACAGAACATTTAAAACTAGTTGTGTCTATTTCATCTTTGTGTTTAGGAGCCCAATGGCAGAGCAAATAAAGGAATTAGCTAATCTAATTGTTTTCCTGCTGGGGCATCAGCACCTCCCACACGGCATCAGGAAGAACCTCTCTATATTACCGTATTTTACGGGCTATTAGTCGCTCTGGATTATAAGGTGCACTGTCATTAAATGGTCTGTTTTCAAAAATTATTCACAAATAAACCGCACCGGACTTTAAAGGAAACCCAACAGTGTGATGGGAGAGTGGTTTTGTTTGTTCGTTCACGGTGACACTGGGCTTTGTTCAGTTGTGGCGTGTAGGGAGGGTGCTGTCTGGGACCAACGGATTGTCGGCGTGTTCGCAGTGACTCAGTTGTGACTCAGAAAGGCACATTGCACTCGCTTTTTCGGTTCGTTCCTCCGTTCCATTCCTCATCGGCGTGGAGTGATGAGTGTGTCTGCGGGTGTTTTTCACTGTGCGGTCGCTGTCTGCTCCGTGCGTATTTGTGTGCGCTGCGGGATTCGTGTATGGGGTGCTCTGGATTGCGCGTGGTCGTTTTTTGATGCGGTTAGAGGCTTAAGACCACAATGTTGTTCAGGCTGTTTTTGTCTTTGACTGACAAACCATAATAGCAACAGGTAAAAGAAAAGGTAAAAAGACTCAATAAAAGAATGATAAAACCCACACAGGATTGGTTCAGAGACATTAAAAGAGTTGAGGTTGTGCAGCGGTGGATTTTTTGTTGACCTATTTTTGCAACAGAATCAGTGTTTTTGTCAAACCTTAGCTCAGAATCAAATACTGTGCCTAAGTATTTGTACAAGTCCACAGTTCCTACATTTCAGCCTTACTTCATTCTTCAGTTGTATTTTCTTAATCCATGATATCCTTTTAGATGAATATTGTGATTTAAAATGTCCATATTATAACACAATGATCCATGGGTGTCAGGGGTTATAATTATAGAGCAGACACAAGCACAATAGTTCTGCTTTAATACTCAGTCAAAGTCTATTTTTATTTAACAGTTTATTTTGTATGCATGCCCTGATTTGATTTGATTAAAGCTGGAGTTTAGACCCCCTTCTTCTATAACACCAGTGTGAGTTTTACCTATAGCAGAGATGGCGGCCTGGGCGGTGTCCGGGTTCACGTCGGTGCAGTATCCTTTGAGTTCCTCCAAAAGCATTGAGACGTTTTCATCGTTCACCAGCTCCACCAGAACCTGAGCCATAAGACAGGATTTAAACAGAGCCAAATGTTTTTTACTTGACAGTGCCTTTCAAGAACTACAGCCGGAGTTCCATATTTTGAATTCAAATCGCAAATATCATAGCAACTGAAGAGCCAATCTGAAACGAGACTCTTGAAAGTAATGCCGCTCCACGCTGGTTTAACAGGGAGCGAGTGCTTAGCAATGCTGTCAATTAAATCTGTTGCTAACGTTAGTGGTAACAACCTCAGGGAAAGAAGGGGGCTGATTTGTCTGCTATTAATGTTCATATCTTGATTTATGAACAGAATAGTGAAATAAAAACACAGCAGTTACAGAGCAGAGGCGAGACAGTTTTTCAATAGAAAGTGAATTGGAACCGAGGCAATGGAGCTGGAATCACGCCCATGCAGGTTATATATGTCAATTTATTTATACAGTCTCTTTTCAGGGGATAGAAGTATCTTAGTGTGATAGGTTAGAATGGTACCATATGCCTCTAATGCTATGCTCTGTGCCTAGATGCAGTTCATATTACATTTCATGTTAAGTTAAAAACAGAAAAACGTTTGTAATAAATATTAATGCATATTAATTTAAATAAGCCTTAAAAATTGTTAAAAGTTTGTTAAAAGCTCATTAAAATGTTTATTTTAGTTTGTTTTTCAGGAGCTTTCGTCATATCTGTGATCAACTGCTTAGCCTGGGATCTGTTGATTTGGTGATTGTTAATGCCTTCGCCAACCACTTGGGGGATTTCGCGCTCTTCCTTTTCATTGTATTAAACTTCTGCATGAGAAAAGCAGTGTGAAATCACTCAAGTGGTTCTTCTGTTTTCAGAGGTACAATACAGCATACCCCTGCTTACGGAAGCCGAGAGGGGTCACAACAAACGCAAACGCCGCAACAAATACAAATGAGACAACACAACAAAAAGCCACAACACACCAAAAAAAGCCACAACGGAAATGACCGTGGGACTCTATTTTAATGCAAACGCCGCAACAAATACAAACGCCACAACACAAACGCAGATGCCGCAACACAAAGTAAAAGAAGTAAAAGTAATTTATTGTTTTATCATTATTCGTTTCACGTTGTAGTTCTTCTTCTTCACTTGCTGCTTGATCGGTCCATCGGAAAACAGAGTCCCGCCGTCACTTCTGTTGTGGTTTTTTAATGTGTTGTGGCTTTTTAATGTGTTGCGGCATTTGCGTTTGTGTTGTGGCGTTTGTATTTGTTGTGGCATTTGCATTACAATAGAGTCCCGCAGTCATTTCCGTTGTGGCTTTTTTGGTGTGTTGTGGCTTTTTTTTGGTTTGTTGTGGCTTTTTGTTGTGGCGTTTGCGTTTGTTGTGACCCCTCTCAGCTTCCGTACCTGCTACAGGGGTACAACATTAGCACCACCTTTAGAGTCTAAAAAAGGTCCTATATAAATCCAAAGCATCATTATGCATATTAATAACTGGGCCTATTCGCATGAAACTAAAGATGGCACAGAAATCATTATTTCACCTGCATCTTCCTCTGTTTGATGAAGGCAGGTTCAGCATAGCCACAGAAGAAACGTTTGTAGTGCGCCCCCAAGAGGCTGGGATCACTCTGCAACAGCAACTGAAAAAGAAAACCAAAACTGAAAAAATGTTTTATTATGTAAAACCTGATCATTTCAACCACAACATCTGATTAACCCCATCTCAGTTAAAGGCACTGCATGTATCCTCGACTCTCATCGTTTTAACAAAGTATCACAACCTGTGTCACCAGAACCTTCACCTGCAGAAAGAGACACATCCAGGTTTGTCTCAGTCTCAGTAGATGGACAGGCCTCATGTGAAGGTGTGTAGAGTTTAAAACACAGTGATAATACACTTCCTGTATTACCTCATAACATCAACTCACCCTACTGTAACAGATAATACTCCCTACAACTGTACAACTCACCCTACTGTAACAGATAATACTCCCTACAACTGTCCAACAACTCACCCTTATGTAACAGATAATACTCCCTACAACTGTACAACAACTCACCCTTATGTAACAGATAATACTCCCTACAAATGTTCAACAACTCACCCTTATGTAACAGATAATACTCCCTACAACTGTACAACAACTCACCCTTATGTAACAGATAATACTCCCTACAACTGTACAACAATTCACCCTTATGTAACAGATAATACTCCCTACAACTGTACAACAACTCACCCTTATGTAACAGATAATACTTCCTACAACTGTCCAACAACTCACCCTTATGTAACAGATAATACTCCCTACAAATGTTCAACAACTCACCCTTATGTAACAGATAATACTCCCTACAACTGTACAACAACTCACCCTTATGTAACAGATAATACTCCCTACAACTGTACAACAACTCACCCTTATGTAACGGATAATCCTGCATTCTGTCAATCATCATATCATTGTTGCACTGTCTTCTTTTATAAAGTTGTGATTTTATTTTACTTATTACTTATTTTTCTATTTTTGACTTGTACATTTATATAATAATGTCTCAACTGTCTCTTGCTATTTTTTGCTACTTATTTAGATTGTATTATTAGCATTTATATTTTTGTTCTTTGTTATTATATTATATTGTGATGTGTGAGCTCCTGTGTCCAAACCATTTCCCTTGTGAATCAATAAAGTTTGTCTAAGTCTAAACCAACTGGATTCCACCACTGAAACTGGCAACCTAAATGATTCTGCTTTCTGATTGAACACCAAATTATCAAATTAAAAAATGGGATATCATGTCCAACGTTTTTTTTGTAATTAAGAATAAGTCAGTATTACAGTTGTTATCAGAAAAGGCTATATGTGATGTTTACCTTGTATAGGGATGCAGGAGCAGTTTATGAAAATTGAAATCTAAATCTTACACACTACAGCGATATAGGATTACGGGAGGGCATCTAACACCTGTATATGTGCCAGAGCGGTGAACCTCATCTCACGGCTGGAGCTTCCACAGGCGGTCAGTAGGGGGCCACACGCTCGCTCCAGGGCGGAGTGACAGACCGCAGGGAGCGAGGAGCAGAGGCAGAGGAAGAGGCGGAGTGTGGCAGCCATGACGGGCGGAGCGACGCAGATCAGGCAGGAGTCCAGCAGAGACAGGATATCAAACAGCTCCCCCTCTGTCTGCGGACGGTATCGCTCTAGGATCCTCAGGATGTCGCACTGAGCCCACACGTCACACTCCTTTAACCTGAGACCAGGAGAGAGGGAGGGAGGGAGGGAGAGAGAGAAGGACGGAGGAAGAGAGGAAGAGAAAAAGAGAGAGGGAGAAGGAGGGAGAGGAAGTAGAAATTATATACATTTTATTTCTAAATTGTTCAGTTCTTGGAAATGTCTTGAGCATATGACAAACAATTTTATAATTTTTACAATTTGACAATTTTATAAGACATGTACGCACTAAACTAACAGAAGTAAACACACTACAAGCCCAATAAATGTTGAAATATAATGAAGGAAGGCTTTTGGATATGGAAGATTTATAAATAAAGAGTATTATAAACCCAAACAGTGGAGTGTTAAGAGTCTGTTTTTTAACACCACATGAGTCATGTGGTCCACTCTGTCTTTATTTCATTTAACCAATGTTACAGATTTTATAGATTTATTGCTGTTTTATTGTTTGCTCTTATTTGACTGGGCTGATCCAGTTAAATGCTCCGATTAAACATTGGAACATTTATTAATTTTTTGGTTTAGACCCGTGTCTGTGCAGCACTTGCAGGGATGTAATAATAACTGAAATATCACATCATCAAAGGTCTCACAATAATATCATGGGCTGTTGGAATATATACAATTATAAGGTATTAAAAGGCTTTAAAAGGAAAAAGTAACTTTTCTTCAATTCAGGGGGGCGCCAGTGGCAAAAAACTGTCTTTGTGTCCTTAGGCAAGACACTTCACCCACATTGCCTAGTATGAAAGTGGTGTGTGTGTGAGTGATGTTGGTGGTCGGAGGGGCCGATGGCGCAAATTGGCAGCCTCGCTTCCATCAGTCTGCCCCAGGGCAACTGTGGCTACAGTAGTAGCTTATAACCACTGAGTGTTGAGTGACTGAATAATGAACTGTAAAGCGCTTTGGGTATCTTGAAAAGCACTATATAAATGCAATCAATCAATCAGTTCTCTGTGAAATAAATATCATGACAATATGGTGAGATTTGCATAATTATGGTCGATATGATTCTTTTTTGATATATGGATTAAATATTAATTCCACTGTCTTTGTAAAAGGTCTTTTCTTCTTTTAAAGTCTGTAAAATACAGATAATGATAATGATGGTCAGTCCACTGGCTGATCACATGACCCTGACCTGTTGAGCAGGTGATGTGCGATGGCCTTGTTAATGGCCACGCCCCCCTCCTCCTTTAGCACCTCCTCCAGAGCTCTGAGACAGTTCACCATGACGATGGGGTCAGGGTCACGTAACAGACTGTACAGCTCGTTTACCACCACCGCGTCTGTCAAGCAGAAAAGGGGACAATTAATAATTCTGTGTAGTGGACTAGTCCTACTACTAGATTACACAGGATTCAAGATGGCAGAGAGGCAGAGATGGTACAGCTCTCATTCACAAGGTCAGAGCAAAGCAGACATCAGAGTCAGTGTGTGTTTCTCACCTGTCTCTGTCTCTGGTTGTAGGTTGTGTAGTTTAGCCCATCCCAGCACAGCCACTCTCCTCACACAGGCTGCTCTGTCCCTAAGCCCAGAGGACAGAGGCTGCTCCACATACTCCACCAGACCTGGCAACCTGGAATACACATTGCACATTCAAATCTGGCAACCTGGCACAAAAATGCAAAAAAAAAACTTTCATTGTTACGTTTATGCTCTACAAAAAGACAACATTGCTATCCAGTCCATAAACAAAGTTATTGTTTTGTCTTTATGTACATTTTTAGTAAGAATTCCACAGAAAGTTTTATAAAGAACCCACCAGGTTTGGTCCTGGTTTAGCTCTGGTTTAGTACTGGTTTAGTCATGTTTTAGTCCTGGTTTAGTCCTGTTTTAGACCTGGATTAGTCCTTATTTCACCTGAGGCTGGTCATGTTTCGTAGGGCGAGGCTGCGGACCATAGGGTTGGCATCCTGACAGTCTTTTCGTAGTGTGTTTATGACGAGCAGCGACAAATCGGGATTGAGTGATGCATAAGAACACAAAAACACATAGACAAGTTTCTTCTGGACAATATCTACTGTGGCACACGCTTTCACCATCTCAGGAAACAAAGCTGACACATCCACGCCCTGGGACATGGCCCTAAAGAAAGAAGAAAGAAGAAGACATTTCAAATCAGGAATTAAAACACGAGTTATCTTGACATTTGAAGGTCACAGTACAACATTTAGCCAAAATTGATACTTTGCAGTGACATCATGCTCGGAGTGTTTTACATTGGCTTGTGGCTGTAATTTGGTTTGTTCAGTTAGCTTCATACCCCCAGGGAATGTTGATGAGATGAGCTGCAAACTATCAATGAAACTATAGGGACTGTATAATGTTGTATACTCATGTGTTACCGTATGACTTTGGTGATGGTGTTCCTGTATCTCAGAGGGTCAGACTGGACGTTGGGGTTGGACAGAGCTCTCCTCAGCTCCTTCACCGTGTCTTCTCCACTCAGGTACGGCATCTTCCACTACTCCTGTCACATTAACACATTGAAATATTATATATGGCTGAAAAAAATAGAATATAGAAGATAAATGATAGTACTGAAACTAATTTATGCCACTGACACAATAACCCTAAAGCAGGACTATCCACAAAAATATTCTAAACGTATAAATTGTGAAAAAACATCAGATACAATAAATAAACAGCAGAATGAAATGCAGTATTCAGTCCTCTGCAGTCTAATTAACAAAGCGTTCCCCACTAGGGCAAAGAAAAGGTTCCATCTATCATGGATTGAATGATAAGTTGATGTAGTGATTCTCGTGACAGGCCTGTCTTCAATAAATCCTGACCACTGATTCAGATCTGCAAACAACAAATGAACAAGTGTTAAAGGGCCTGTATAACGCTATTTTCTGATGTTTGATAGATTTTCTCTATCTCTATCTCTGTTCTAATGTACTTTCTTCATCATAAACAGACCTTGAGTTGTGTGTTGTTTCATTTGTTCACACATGTTTAACACACAAACCAGAGATGCCACACCCGACACCTGCCACTGACCATCGACGGTGCTGCTGTGGAGAGAGTGAGCAGAACTAAACTCCATCAGCACATCAGTGAGAATCTCTCCTGGACCAACACTGCATCACTGGTGAAGAAAGCCCAGCAGCGCCTCGACTTCCTGTGAAAACTCAAGCAGCAAGTGCCTCACCACCATCATGAGCACATTCTACAGAGAAACCACTGAGAGCATCCTTTCAGCTGCATCACTGTGTGGGGTGGAAGCTGCATAGACCAAGACAGGAGAGCCCTGCAGTGCCACCTGCCTCTCTTGTGTATACACCACCCGCCTCATCCGCATCTCACCCGAATATACATCACCCGCCTCACCCACACCTCACCCGCATATACACCACCCGCCTCACCCACAAAGCCATCACAACTGTGAGGTACGGTTTCCCGCCCTCTGGGAGGACGTACAGGAGCCTCCCTTCCTGCACCACCAGACTCACTAACAGCTTCATCCAGCAGACTGTTAGGATGCTGAACTCTCTCCCCTCTCTAACCCCAAAGAACACTTGGACTGATTTTTTGTATGATCTTTGTATGAAGAATTGACAATAAGCTTTGAACTTGAACATGATCATGAACCCTGCATGTTTATTTCAGCCCTGGAATGTTCAGGCTCTACAGAACTAAAGGTAAAAGGAGCTGTTAACTTAAAAACTACCGCTTCATGACATCACAAGGTGGAACAATGCATTTCAAGCTTTGGAGATGAACAACAGGATTACTCAAATATGTGGAAATTTAACAAAACACAAGTCCAGGTCTGTTTTTGAGGAGGTAACAACATTCTAACATGGCTGAAAGTTCACAGGAGTCAATTTTGTGTAGTATAGGGCCTTTAAACCAGTTATCATAGTTTAAACCAGTTATCATTGTTAACCCCAAACATGCACAACAGTTAATACTAAAGATGACATTCACATCATTCTATAGGGCAATATTAATGAAAACAGGTGTGGGGCAGTTAAAATGAATATTGTACAAACGCAAAAATATGTTGTAACATAGGTAATTTCTTGGTTTAGTCAGTAATAATACCGAAAAATATCAGGCTCAACATTTGTGAGTTCACCGTTTGGATATTTCATGGCAAAATACAATATAATCAATACAGAAATCTAGCCCTAGCCCTCATCTGGGAGTACAACATGATCACATTAGAATCTGAAAACCACCAATACAGAGAGGCGCGACTACAGTGTTACTCAAAGTATTTTATTTTATTTTTTTTGTATTTAGAGACAGATCTATGAATGTTTTTGTGCTCTTTTTGGTTAATCACATTAGAACTGTATGTGAAGTCCGATATATAACAGTACCACAGAGAAATATTGCGATAAACTTTAATATTGAAACTACTTCATGCCACCGACACAAAGCAGGATAATCCCAGCAAACCAAATGTACAAATACTGTATCATTAAGACATGAACTGCAACAAATACTTATCAGAATGAAACAATAATCAGCAATAGACGTTATTGGGCTAAATTACCAATGGTCGCCCTGAGTAAAGTTAACGGTACACGTCGTACTGTTTAATATTGATGACAGTTTATTTTTGAGCTCTTTTTACCTTTAAAATGATCAGCAGAGTGACTTGTTTACATTTTCCGCAGCAGAGGCACTTCCGCGTCTCTTCTTCTGCGGCGGCGCAAAATGTGAACACAACATACACGGATACTGCCCTCTAGTGTCTGAGAGAGGGAGCTGACACGTACTGGTAAACAAAAGAAGTGAGTGAACTTTGAACTAAACATAACTCAGTCACCTTTGGGCACCGTGGGCAGTGTTGGGAAGGTTACTTTTAAAATGTATTCCCCTACAGATTACAGATTACATACACCAAAATGTAGTTTGTAACGTAATCCATTAAATTACTTAAAGTGAGTAACGTAATCTGGATACTTTGGATTACTAGGTTTCCTATAAAGTAGCAAAGACTCGGACATCTTCACATAAGATGTTTTGTCTGATTAAAGACAATAAAAAGCCCAGTCTTTACTTAACCAAATAAAAAATATTATTTATAGAAGAGGAGGAGACTTGGTCCGCACAGCATGATTTAGTCCTGTTAAATCCTGTTTGAGACATAGTTTAGACCTGGTTTTAGTCCTGGTTTAGTCCTGGTTTAGTCTCGGTTTAGACGTGGTTTAGTCTTGGTTTAGTCCTGGTTTAGATCTGGTTTAAACCTGGTTTTAGACCTGGTTTAGACCTGGTTTGGACTTGGTTTTTGTCCTGGTTTTAGTCCTGGTTTAGTCCTGGTTTTGTCCTGATTTTGTCCTGGTTTAGTTCTAGTTTAGTCCTAGTTTAGACCTGGTTTATACCTGGTTTTAGACCTGATTTAGTGTCCGGCAATGAGTGGAATTACCGAAGAAAAAAAAAAAGGAAAAAAAAGGGGATATAGCCCAAAATGTGAAAACAGAAAAATACCTCTGTGTAATCCATTTATTTCAACCAAGTAACTGTAATCCAATTACCACTCACTGAAACAGTAACTGTAACCAAATACAGTTACTCATAATTTGTACTCTGATTACGTAACTCTGGTACATGTAATCTGTTACTCCCCAACACTGACCAAGGGGATGCAGTTTACGCAGTAAAGCAGAACTAAATCAATGTCCATGTCCAGAGATGCATTTTCCAAGATTTATTCCAGTGTAAACAGGAAAACAACAAGGATACATGATCAAGGCCTACTTGCTTAGGGTGACCACATTTTCAAAATTATAAACTGGGACACACCCGGTTGGGATGTTTGGTATAAATAAAATCGTGAAAAGAGTGTGTAACATTGTGCATTCTCGTGTCAGCCATAATCTGAGAGACTTCTGTCACTGCATTCTTTTGCTTTATGATCATTCACAAACACAGTGGTTTTGTATAAATCTGCTGGGACAGGGGACACAGGCTCCCAACTGGAACTGTCCTGGGTAAATTAGGACATCTGGTCACCCTATACTTGCTCCCTCTGTCGACTGGTAAAACCCATAGGCCCACCCAAGTGCACTCCTGCTGTAGCACCCTCTTTTATCCCCTAGGTGCCCTGTGGATTAAACCAGAAACAGAAAAGGTGCTAAATTAAAAAAAAAATAGCAAATTAGACTAAACAAATGAGCAAACATATTAACATAGCAAAAATGTATTATACAAATAAAAAAATAAATAAAATAGATTAGTAAACTAACTGACAAACAAAAATAATTTTAAAAAAATCAATTAAAAAAAATCTTAGAATAAACAAAATAAGCAAGTAACTCTTGTAGTTATGAATAAATATAAATAAAAATAAAAATAATGACAGTTAGAATCCCAGTCTCGACATCATAACGTCACTGGTTTGAGCAGTCGGATCAACTGGTTGGCGGTGCGATTCCAGCTCCCACAGATGAAGGCTGTCATTGTGTCCTCTGGCAAGTCATTTAACCGTAGCATCTGCATACACTGACGCTTTGAGTGGCTAGAAAAGGTGGAAAAAGTGCTGCATAAAAATGTGATCATTTACCATTTAAGCAGATAACTCAGAAGTGGGCAATTTTTTTTTCCATGGGGCCCCATGAAACAGAAAATATTGTGGAGGGCCAGGTCAAAATGCTTAACTCAGTTCTGCATAATATTAATTGTGGGTTAGTCCATATGAATGCCCTCCCCTATGAGCAATCTCAGATTTGGCTGAAAAATTTCTAAAATCACCAAATGAAAGAATCTTAGATTTTAGCTCAATCCCTTGAGTCATTCCTGAATTAAAAAAAAATAAATTAAAAAAAACTGAGCAGCAACCAAATTTGACATTTTGGGGGCCCACAGTGCCCCCCTTAATAAAGATACCCAATATTTGACAGATTCAGAATCTATAACAATACAAATTTTCATCTTCCTAGCTCTATTTTTTATGAAGTTCTGGTCTCTCAAACATGATTATAAATTAAAGCTTCAGAAAAAGTGAGCATGGCCCCAAAATTTCAATGAGCCATAACCCAGGAATGACTCAAGGGATTGAGCTAAAATTTGAGATTCTTTCATTTGGTGATTTTAGAATTTTTTTTTCAGCCAAATCTGAGGTGACTCATAGGACTGACCCTTGTATTTCTTTATAAAATGCAGTAAATATCATTGTTGTGAAGAGCTGGTCAGACTAGGAAGCAATGAAAAAGTGAGGTTGCCTTACACAATATGTCATTTAAAAAAAGCCAATGCAGTGCCAAATGAGCTTCGAGGGGCTGGTCAGAGCCGACCAAAGGCCCATATGTGGACCGGGGGTTGGACAATGCCCAGGTCTGAGGTAACGGATCCCCCACACAATTAAGAAGTTACATTGTGCACCTCTTAAAAATAATCCTTAATGTTTTATTCTTTCATATACTCATTTATGAAACTCTGGCATTAATGATCAGTACCAAAATAAAAGGATGTGGGATGATGGGACACATGATCACACAGGGATACCAGAGGATGGGAGGGCATCTGACACACAGGAATAAATACATTTAGTTTTCATCTTAAACCATTCCTTACCCCAAAATACACACCAAAACCGACACTCAAATTTGATAACTTTATTGATTGTAAAAAGCAGAAGGCTACAAAAACAGTCTGAGATTTTTAACAAAGAAGTCCATTTCCTTCTCAAACCAGGGCATCCGCTGTAGCTCCTCCCGCAGGCTGGGGGTGCAGAGCCAAGCATCATAAAAGGTCAAAGGAGAGGACGATGTATTTCAAATCTAACAGACTGAAAAAACATTTGACCCTCACAAATCAAGAGAAAGCTGCTCAATTCCTTCTCTGGGCTGTGGGTCAAATTTTATTTCACTTTTTAATTTACAACAAGCCATCTTCTTTGTTCACCGTTTTAAGACACATTTTGTTTCTTGTCCATCACCAAAAACTGGGTCAACATTATATGGCAAATGACTTTAATTTAGAATAATAATACATGTTGATGTTTTTACTACTTAAAGAGGGGGTATTTTTACTTCTGTGGGGCATTTAGATCACCATGTGGCATTTTATTGTTTTGAAAATGCTATATTTGCTAAAGACATCATATTTTATATATCTTTTCCCCCTGCACTAAGTCAGTGTGCATCCCACTAATGAAACTCCTGCATGTCACATCACTTTTGTATCATGTTTTTGTATATTTCTGGAGAATTGTCGTGTGGGAGCATGGGGTTGTAGACTTGTGGGTGGAGCCTTGTACAAAATCCGTAAGGAGGGTTTGAAAAGGGCCCAGTAGAGATTGCTAGATTACTCAAACCTGTATGATATCCAAAAGCTCTTCGGTGAGGTTATGAGCAAACAATCTTATAACATGGGAGAAAGCTTAAAAAATGGTTCTGCATAACACCCCCTCCTTAAGTGTGATTATGTTACTCCATTTACTTCAGCGCAAATCATTCCAATATTTAGAAACAAGTAAGAAATCTGGGTGTTGTTGCATACATTCAAAACAAGAAAAGCAATTAAACAATCATGATACCATTGTCTGGTTAAATTCATAACTGATTGGTGAGAATAGTCTTGGAATGTCTTGTCTTATTAATTTGTTAAATTAGCTTTCAGCAATATGTGAAAATATGTCTCTTTATAAGAGAAACTGATGGTCGATAAGCTTTGTCAATATATACGCCTGATAATGATTATTTTGCCTGACTTATGATTTGAAATGACAACAAACGTCATCCACAACTCTGTGCAATGGATACGAGAGCTGTCATGTTTTGTGCAGTGCTGTCTTCGCATGTTCAAATGAAGCTTTTGGTCTGTTCTTGCAGCTGCTTGGCGATAAGGCAAAATTTGTACTTTTAGCATACTGGCTATCTTTACTCTTTATGCGAGGTTGGGTCTGGCTGAGGCTGGTTGCTGAGCTGGTTGCAGGGCTCTTTTTGTGTGAGGTTGGGGCTGGCTGTGTGCTCTCTGACAGATTAGGGCTGGCTGCTGGGTAGTTTACGAAAGGTTGGGGCTGGTTGCCGGGCTGGTTGCCGGGCTGGCGGTCTCCCTCCCTCGCGGCGGCACTTCAATAATTCGTGGTTTGTCGATGATTCTCGCTCGTCTGTCTCCTTTCTCCACGATGCCGATGATCCAGGCTCCACCCTGCCCCCCGGTGGCCGCGCGCTGGCTCTTCATCTCAGAGCAGAACTTGGCAGCCTGCTCCCGGGGCAGGCACATCAGCAGACCCCCTACAGGATGCCACAGGGATTACACTCTTTACAATAAGAATAATGCACTGGATTTCAAGTATAGCACCTTTCAGGACACACAGTGAGCCTTACAGTGCATCATTCACTCACCCCAGACTCTGTACTGTTGATCTAACAACCAACAACTAATCCCTCACACTGCACATTCAAACATCCAGACAATGCCAACAGCACTTTGCAATGGCTGGAACTTAAACAGTCGATTTATGGTTACAAGTCCACAACTTCATCACCTGATCCACTCATGAGCTTTGTTGTCAGTTTTAATGTCATGTTATGTACTGTAGTAATACATTTCTGACCTGCTGAGAGCCCAACAGGTTTCTCGGTACATTTTAAAGCTACCATTTATAATTAGACTCCTAATTAGACCTGGCCCTGTTGTATTCTCACTAGTGACGGGCCAAACGCGTCAACGTGATGACACAAATTAAGCTCAGTCTGTGCTGAGGCGGCTCGTGTAGAGCGAGGAGCGGGAGGCTCAGATCTGTCGCAGTGTCTCTGCCCATCATCACAGAACAGAGGTCAATTAAATACAATCAATGAACCTGCTCAGGTACGACAGGTGGAAATGAGCACTGGTGCTACACCCTGGTACAAACATCTCTCCTGTTAAGGTTCATGTAAATTGTGCACTGTCCCTGTCTTATTAAATAAATAAATAAATAAAACCACAGAGAAGCAGAAGGAGAACCTGTTCTGTGTGAGCTCATTTCAATCAAGTGGAGTTCACTACAGATTTTCTGAATGAATTATATTATTGTACTATTATTTTACAACTGACCCAACAGACTTGCTAATGTTACTGTACAACAGGCTGTGATTTGCTTTAATGAGACTGCATCACCTTCTTGATCAGTTCATTCATTCATTGGACATCAGAGCATCATAAAAGAGTGTTCATGTGTCTGACTGAACGAGCGCTGCTCTATGTTGATGCTTCTGCAGAGGAGGCAGTTCATTTTGAAACCACCACATGGCGCTATAGAACACACCACCACAATATCAACACAGTGCTGGAAATGTGTTCCACACACCTTTAGGCCTCATCTGCTCATCACTAATTCTCACACACAGTATCACCACTGGATGCTCTGTGCATTACTGCAGTGTCAGTGTGTCAGAAGAACAGAACAGAAGAGACGCAGGAGCCTGAACAAACAGGGCGGAGGGGAAACATGTTCATGGATAATTGTGTAATCATTTGTTCAGGTAGAATCCATAGAAAAGAAGAAATTAAATTCTGTCAACTTCAGATCTGACCAGAACAGAAGAAGCTGCTTGGATGAGCTGACAGAAGTGAATTTCTCTTTTGCTGAAGTTACAGATTGTAGCTTTAATGACAGTATCTACTCGTTCATTCATTAGTCCTGTATTTGTCCTGTAGCAGAGGGCTCTTTGTACCCAGCACTAGTATTCTTCTTCCATTCATTCATATTGTATAATGCTGGATTTGTACCTGAGGTCTCTGCAGACGTGCCCTGGATCAGGTTGAACAGGTTTCCACAGGCTTTGCTGATGGCAGCCATCTTGGCGATGATAGGCAGGTTGTGGATGACGAAAGCAACGTCGTTCTTCTGCTGCGCGGCGAGATTATTGGCGTGACCCAGGAGCCCGAAGCCTGTGACGTCTGTGGCCGCGTGCGCCTGGAACTTATGCATCAGACCGGCCGCTAGGACAAGAGACAGACCAGAGACAGACCAGAGACAGACCAGAGACAGACCAGAGACAGACCAGAGACAGACCAGAGACAGACCGGAGACAGACCAGAGACAGACAGACAGACCGGAGACAGACCAGAGACAGACAGACAGACCGAGACAGACCGGAGACAGACCGGAGACAGACCGGAGACAGACCAGAGACAGACCGAGACAGACCAGAGACAGACCGGAGACAGACCGGAGACAGACCGGAGACAGACCGAGACAGACCGGAGACAGACCGGAGACAGACCGGAGACAGACCAGAGACAGACCGGGGAGAGACAGACAGACGGGGACAGACGGGGGACAGACGGGGACAGACGGGGGACAGACGGGGGACAGACGGGGGACAGACGGGGGACAGACGGGGGACAGACGGGGGACAGACGGGGGACAGACGGGGGACAGACGGGGGACAGAGGAAGGCATTTTAAATTAAGTTTATAATGTAATTATGACTCTATGAATCCCGCGCACAAGGATCATGGTGTATATTATTTAAGGACATATGGTGTCTCCCGTCACATGTGTCTCCTGTCACATGTTTCGCCTGTCACATTTGTCACCTTTCACATGTGTCTCCTTTGCAGTTTAACATTGTTCTATATTCATATTATTTTCATATGTCTCGTCTGTTTTATTAACATGCTCTGTCTTATGTCTCACCTGTGTATTAATACACACACACACGTAGTGAATGTGACGTGTGTCGTGATACACACACACATGTAGTGAATGTGACGTGTGTCGTGATACACACACACGTGTAATGAATGTGACGTGTGTCGTGATACACACACACGTGTAATGAATGTGACGTGTGTCGTAAATGTGTCGTGTCTCACCTGTGCGGTTTAAAGTGGCCATAGAAAACATGGCCTCCTGATACGCCTCCTTCACTTCCTCTTTGGACACCACTAGTTTGATCTTGTTCCATCGTTCAGGCTGAAAACAGAAAAATTAAATGAAAAATTATAATGTTTATCAAGCAGCAGTTGTATTTTATATTGCTAGACTCCAGTGGCCGTCTGTGCAACAGAACAGGCAAAGCAACAGCATCTCCATGGAGACGAGCCAAGAGCCTGTCACTCCACCAGACCACGTTACAAGTCAGGTCTGTTTAGAATTAAACCTCTAGTTCTCGTTGATTGTTGTCTTTATTTCTCTGACCTGGTCGAGCCACTGGTGTGCGTTCACAGCCACCTGCGTCCCCAGAGGTTTAGTGAGGACCAGAACATCTCCTGGGACGGCTCCATCAGGCCTGAAAAACATGCAGCAGTGTTTAGAGCACACTTTACACTGTCCTAGTGTTGTCACCATTTACTAAAAGTTCAAACTCGATTTCCAAACTAAGGAATAGGCCCAGTGCTCAATATCAGTTCTATTTCTGCACAATGACAATAAAAAACACTCTTTATTTAGACAATAGCATGCTATTTAATTGTAGTACTTTTTATATGAGCAGTTTTGACAGTGTACTTCAGTACACTATAACTCTAGCATCCCGACTTATGGACAAAGGGTACATTTGGACTCACATGATGAATTCATTGGGCTGACAGACGACAGAAGCCACTCCTCCCACAATGATCCAGGGGTTAACCACTGTCTGTCCCCCCGTCACTGATGTCCCACCCTCCTCTGCCGCATCACGAAATCCCTCTATCATCAACGGCATCACACGCTCTCGATCCTGCAATGTTTAAGATGAAAGAGGGTCAGAGGAGCAAAGGAGGGGGTCAGAGGAGGGTCAGAGGAGAGGCTCAGATGGAGCAGAAGAGAGGGTCAGACCTTTTCGTTCATCTTTTGGCTCACACTCAGCAGCATCAGCATGTTGTCACACTCGGTGATGCCCATGGCATACAGGTCACTCAGCACGTTGGCACAGGCGATTCGACCCTGGACACAACACCAAAAAACACTTATGTCACTACAATTACAGTCTTAAAAACCTCAAGCCATTTTATCATCATCTCAAACTGAAACAGTCAACTCCAAAATGACTAGTTTGTTGATACTTGTAGCATCTTTGGTCTGACAGGAAAATCACTTGCAAATTTTGTAAGTTGTAAGTTGCAGTACTACAATCCAAAGTGACCCTGTGTCTCCAGAGCTGCAGACAGAGACACATCCAGGTTTGTCTCACTCTCAGTATATGGACAGAACATGCCTTGTGTGGAAGCCTGTTGTTATGTGGCTGAGTAGATTTAGTTTAAAGTGTCCTTTTCTGACAGAGAGAAGCACAAAACCACCAAAAGAAATGGGAAGAACACTGGTCATTTGTTATGTCTGTAGTTACATTTCCAACAGGGACATGCCATAAGTCTGCAACATCAAATCTGATCATGACAAATCAGTTTTTCAAACAAGTGGTCTGTAGTAAACACTCAGAGCTTTTATCACAAGTACAGGCACGAAATCAAAAACACAGAACAGGAATGATTTGTGTGTGATTTAGATGAGAAAAACCTTTATTTATAAATGTTCTCTTTGTCTCAGCTTTCAACTATCCACGGGTTTCAGGAGAATGAAGAGAATTTAAGATCCTTGCCATAGCTATTAACGATTCAAAACATGATGTGTTTTGCGTGGTAGTCCACAACATGAACAGAGGAAATACAAATGACATCACTACATGTCTTATTTTTAAAATGAGGCAACATTATATGAGTGTGAATGTAGTAATGATGTTTTCTTCAGTAAAGCTCCAAACAGTGAATTTAAAATATAAAAGAGCTGCTACAGTTTAAGGACAAATATAAGTTGACAGCTCTGCTCAATATTTAGTTTGTCCCTGTCATTTAAAACAAGAATGAGACAATTTTATCGAAATAAGATACACTACGAGATCAGTTCCACAAGAACAAGACAAGATGAGATTTGGACATAATTTAGTACTAACTACTTTTATTTATTTTATGTAATACTTTAGCAGTCATTGTTTTACTGATTTTTGGAACTACAGCTTCTCAAATTGGTCTCAACTCTTTTAAATTCAGGCAAATTCAGGCAGAAAAAATGTCACAAGATAATTTTTCTTATGCCATGCACAATCGCTTTTGTCTCGCAAGATCTTGTGGTACGAAATCTTGTCCCATCCCTAGGAAATAATTCTTGTGGGGTGAAAATAACAGCTCTCTGGAAAAAAAATAAGGCCAAAAAAAGGGAAATATACACAAGTTTGCCACTCATTTTTGCAATCAAATGATGTCAATGCATAACCTCTAATAAAAATGATGCAGTGACATCATGCAGGGGTGTTCTACATGTACCTCTATGCTGGAATGTTCAGCAATTTCATCCAAAAAAAAAAAAAGTTTTAAGGTGGTCTGAAAAGTCAAGAAACAATACAAAATGGGTTTAAACAGCATGTTTTCAGGAGCCTGTGATCAATACACTGTAAACTTCTCTGATCTGGACAAAATTTAAAAATTTATATCAGGTTATTCATCATGTTTTCAGATTTATTATCTACTTACTAGATCTGAGACTGCTCTGTCCAGTCTAGAGGTAGTTTATTTAAATATGGACAGATCATTTTGCTACTTTTAAATCATTTTCTGATAGATTTTTTATCTTTATATCTTAAATTTTGGCCAAGCTTTTCTACAGTGTACAAGCGTTCCTGTTTAGGAGTCTTAGTTGAAAATCAAAGATTGACTCACTGAAAAACTAATGTTATTCAAGAGGGACTAGTTTAACAGTTCCAATCAGCTCGCCTGTGGTAGTTCCAGGTAAGTCAGTTCTTTATGATCAGATTGTGTTAAAACTAAGGATGGGCATGATTAGTCGACTAATCAATAATTGATCATTAAGAATTTCGTCGATTACGTTCATTTCTAATCAGCAAACCAAATGTAGGTTTCTGTGCGTAGATATGAAGCTGTGTCTGACAGAGCAAACACTGGAGTTGCGCCTCAGTCCCATGTTTGGGCTCTGGCTCCTCCTTGGAGGTCACTGTACCACTCAGTGAGTGTGTTTACATGCACATCTGTATCCCGGTTTCATCATGTTGCATGTTTATGCAGTATCCTGGTTACTGCAACATAAAGAGCTGCACTAAACCTGCACACGTACGATTTTGAAACATCACGACACGCACACAGACCTGACTCACCTTCAGCAACAACTATATTCCATTTAGACGTGTCCTTTAGTCCAACAGAAGTTGAACCGCATCAGCGCACAAGAGCGTTTTTTTCTCAAATGAGCCATATGGTTTTAAGTTTTGTTTCTGTGAGACTTGCGCAAAGCTGCATTAAACACATGATAATGTCAAACTGGCTGATGTGGCTCTAGAGTGTTTATGGTTTATATGTTGACTTTATTTATGCAGATTAGTAATAGTAATAATAATGACACTTATTATATTAAAACGTTAATGATTAATCGAAAACCGATCGTTAATTCTTTAGACAATAAAATTTCATCGAATGCTCATCCCTAGTTAAAACAAAACTCGGATTAAAGTCTATCTTGAGTTACCAGGACAGAGCAGAGCGTACAGTTAGGAATGTTGATGTGATCTCCTGTGAAGTATTAATAGTACTTCAAAGCGTGTTTTTTTGAGAGGCCTGCTTGAGACTCACCATCATATAAGGATCCTCCACCAGGGGGTAGAAGAAGTCTGTGGTTTGGACCAGAGATAGTCCTCCATGTCTCAGAGGGATCACGCAGCAGTCCATGCCCACGCCTACAAACAGGACAGACAGGACGGGTGAGACGCAGTTATCCACACACGGCTCTTACTCAAACACACTTCCTGATCAACAATGGTGTTGCACAAATTGCTGCAATCAAACAGAAAGTGTTAGATTCGAGCTGGTTGAGGACATTTGTGATGTTTGATGATACGTTTATTTCAGATGTTTCCATAAATAATAAATTGCATTATCATACAGTAAATGATAAATTGTATATGCAATAATCAACAGATATATAAAGACAATTATTTTACACTGCTCATCACAAAAAGAAAAAGAAAAAGGAAAAAATAAATAAATAAACTGTTCCGAAAAGGAGTGGGGAGAAGCAATGCGTATCTACCCCCACCCATTTTTACAATCCCACTGAAGCAATAATGTGCTTCTGCCAAACTCTTATAGTAGGTCACATTACTCCAAATACAAAATTAAATATAGCGTAGTTTGCATTCAGATAACAATAAAATGAAATTCCTTCTTGAGCATACATAGCTATAATCATTTCTTTATATTTATGTTTTTATGTACATTTTCATATTTGGACATTATTTGAGCTCATCACTCACGGAGTTCCAGATTTTGATCCCACAAACTGAAATACAGAAACTCTGGGAATTTTAAAGAGATGAATTCCCCTCAAATTATAAGATGTCTCCCTTTCCCTAAAAAGTTTCTGAATATTTTTTGGTAATTCCTTCCTTTCGGCCTTGTACATTATTTTTTCTGTCTGGAAGTTTATCAGATCCTTCAGTTTTAAATTGTTGGAAGTGATAAAGAGCTGGTTGGTGTGGTCATAAAACCCAACGTTATGAATTATCAGTCGTACTCTTTTCTGTAATATGAATTCTGTTTCCAGTATTGTTTTATAATTATTACCCCAGATCTCAGCACAGAATGTTAAATATGATGCATCTAAAGAACAGTAAAGTGTATGTAGAGCTTTCTTGTCCAGAAAATGTTTGGCCTTACCCAGTGTTGTGAAGGTGACTTTTAAAATGTAATCCCCTACAGATTACAGATTACATACCCCAAAATGTAGTTTGTAACATAATCCATTAAATTACTTAAAGTGAGTAACGTAATCTGAATACTTTGGATTACTTGATTTGCTGTAGAGAAGCAAAGACGAGGAAATCTTCACATAAGAAGTTTTGTCTGATTAAAGACTTTACTTAACCGTATTAAAAATATTATTGATAGAAGAGAAGGAGACACAGTCCACACAACATGGTTAAGTCCTGTTTTAGTCCTGTTTAGTCCTGGTTTAGTCCTGTTTTAGTCCTGTTTTAGTCCTGGTTTAGTCCTGGTTTAGTCCTGGTTTAGTCCTGGTTTGGACCTGGTTTGGACCTGGTTTAGACCTGGTTTAGACCTGGTTTTGTCCTGGTTTAGACCTGGTTTTAGACCTGATTTAGTCCTGATTCAGTCCCGGTTTATTCCTGGTTTAGATCTAGTTTAGACCTGGTTTTAGACCTGGTTTAGACCAGGTTTAGACCAGGTTTAGACCAGGTTTGGACCTGATTTTAGACCTGGTTTAGACCTGGTTTAGACCTGGTTTGGACCTGGTTTGGACCTGGTTTGGACCTGGTTTGGACCTGGTTTGGACCTGGTTTGGACCTGGTTTTAGTCCTGGTTTACACCTGGTTTTAGTCCTGCTTTAGACCTGGTTTAGACCTGGTTTTAGACCTGGTTTAGACCTGGACTGGACCTGGTTTAGTCCTGGTGGTTTTAGTCCTGCTTTAGACCTGGTTTAGACCTGGTTTAGACCTGGTTTAGACCTGGTTTAGACCTGGTTTAGTGTCCGGCAATGAGTGGAATTACCAAAAACATAAAAACAACAACAACAAAAAAAGAAGGGGGATACAGCCCAAAATGTGAAAACAGGAAAATCCCGCCATGTAATCCATTTATTTCAACAAAGTAACTGTAATCCAATTACCACTCACTGAAACAGTAACTCTAACTGAATACAGTTACTCATAATTTGTACTCTGATTATGTAACTCTGGTACATGTAATCTGTTACTCCCCAACATTGGCCTTACATAATACTGCTGTGCTTTTTGAAATGTTCGCATGTACAGTATATATTGTGTGTGTTCTTTCCATTTAAGTTTTTCATCCATGTATGTTTTAATACAAGGATTCTATTCAAAGTTCACATTTAAACACATCCAGAAGAACTGAACTGACAAACAAATACAAGAACCACATTTCAGAACAAAAGCTCTAAACTATAGGGTGAGCAGTTTTTATGCAAAACAAAAAACAAAACAAACAAAACAGGAGATTTAGTCGTTTATGGAGGAAATGATGGTACTTTTGGATTCTCTAACTGCATCCATTCAAAATGTTGTTTCAAGTCAATTGCATTAATCTTATATTTTGTTTAATTCATCGCATTCAAATAGAGCTGTCAAAAATACAGAAAAACTGATACTAAAACTAAACTAAAACTAGTACTGAAACTGTGAAAAAAATACATAAACAAAACTAAATTTGTCCTTTTCTTTCCACAAAGACACTACTACTATTGTGGTGAATACGTCTCATGAGTTTTTATGTTTTGATTTGTTTTTATTATGATTTTAATGTATTTCTTATTCTGTAAAGCACTTTGAATTACTTTGTGTACGAATTGTGTTATACAAATAAACTTGCCTTGCCTTGCCTTGCATGAGTCTAGTGTCTAAAAGCATTTTTTTTTTATCATCAGTGTTGTTGAAATCTGTACCAGGCCTTTTTCTTAGTACTGAAGTTCAAATGTAACACTGTAATCATTTAGGTCATTTAGGTTGTGTAAAATATCCTCTGAAAACAACAAATGCGAACAACAAATTCCAAAAAGCAGGGTTCTTGTTTTGCAGTCATTTCTTAACTGAGACTAAGACTTTCCTGATTTCCTCCATGTAACATTTGCTTTATTTTGTATGCCTACAGTTATTTTTTCCATTTTTATTTTTTGTTCTTTGACAGAAAGACCATAAACAAACATGTAAGTACCCTATCATATGAATTCTCACGCTTACGTAACTCTGATCTATCTCTGAGTGGAGTGTTTTTGAGTAAAGCAGAAGTCAAAGGTTATTTGGCAGAGATACACGAGTCCACCTCAGACTGGAATCATCGTGTTACTCAAGTCTTTTATTCGCAAGACAAAAACTGCAAAGTCATGCCCTCTCGACAAGAAATTTATATCCAATTAAACTCACTGTTTTCTTTTGTATAAGGATCATATTCGGCAAAACTGTCTTTTTTTTTACTTATTCTTTTTGTAGTTTATGCACAGAAATTATGAATGAATTATCAAATGTAAATGGATTTTAACGTGTTGTATTGTACACTTTTTAAATTTGATTTTGTGGATACATATACATATACATACATTACTTAAATTACAAGTTTCCTCATCCCAAACAGAACTGGAGTTGTGTTTTGTTTCCAGTGTTGGGAAGTAACAGATTACATGTACTAGAGTTACGTAATCAAAGTACAAATTATGAGTAACTGTATTCAGTTACAGTTACTGTTTCTATGAGTGGTAATTGGATTACAGTTACTTTGTTGAAATAAATGGATTACATGGTGGTATTTTCCTGTTTTCACATTTTGGGCTAAACCAGAACTAAAACCAGGACTACACTAGGACTAAAGGTTGTATGGAGGATTTTTTTATTTGTTTCAAATTGCCAATGAAAGTTTAAAGTACCATTACAAAGATGCAGCAGCCTTGTAATTATGATGACCAAAGGAAATTTTTTTTAAATCCATCAACTGTGGACGTAGTGAGGCCAGATAAACATCAGCCAATAGAAAACGAGGTCACCTCTTTATCTATTGGCTGTTAGGTTGCTAATTTAACTCCCTACGTTTCTAGCATCACTGACTTGCCAGTGCACTGGGATTAAGCGGTTTACGTTCGCCTCTCACGCACTGACGCCGTTTACTCAATCAATACAGCAGTTCTTAGGGGTTTTTTCAAACTTAAACTTTCAACTTCCTCTCAGTTTGCACAAAATTTGTTGTAATGATAGACAAGAATTCACAAACAGTTCATCATCAAAGAAAGTCAATTTTTGACGTCGCAGAAAGAAAAAGAGAAGGGGAAAAGGAGCAAAGCACAACATTTGAAAAAGGACAAACAGTCGCTGCATTTCTTTTTCCTTGGAAAATCTCCTATACAATCCAGGACTAAACAATATGACACGGACAGTAGGTTGGACATAATTTAAAGCAGCAGTGACCTCATATAGAAATAATTTCTCTATCAATAATATTTTTTAATTTGGTTAAGGAAATACTGTGCTTTTTATTGTATTTTAGCAGATAAAACATCGTCATCTTTGTTTCTCTACAGTAAAACAAAAGTCTGTTCATGGAGACTTTGACTCAACAGACAATTTGAAGAAAAACAATGTTCAGGATGTGGTTGGTACATTCATGTAGTTTTAATAAGCCTGACAATATCAAGTAATCCAAAGTATTCAGATTACATTACTCACTTTAAGTAATTTAATGGATTATGTTACAAACTACATTTTGGAGTATGTAATCTGTAATATGTAAAGGAATATGTTTTAAAAGTAAAATTCCCAACACTGTTTGTTTCATTCACACACAATCACTACAGATTTTGGCCGAGTTCTTCTCTCAGACAGAAAACACTCTGTTCCACCTTGTGATGTCATGTGGTAATAAAGCTCCACTGTGTTTTTAAACTCCATACACCTTCACTAGAATCATCCGGGTGATTTCAGACCTGGAACTGCCAATCTCTCCTGAACAGAAGCCAGACAGAAGGAGCTGTTCACTTGAAAACTACTGCTTCATGACTAGGGCTGTACAGAAATATTGAAATATATTGCATTGTTTAATGTGATGATACAGTATCAATATCGTGGACTTCTGTACTGATATATTGTCTAGAGTATTTTGTTGTATATTTTACTCAATTATTTTGTTACAGTTACAGTTTTGTTGTTTGTTCAAAGGAAGGAAACACGTTTATGCGACACATTTTACATTTTCACTGTTCTGAGGATTAAAATGTTTGTGTTTCATATGAACTTTGCACAAGAAGTGGTTTAACAAAGACTTTTAGTATCACAGACATGATTTAACCTTTATTTTTTTATTGACCTGTACTGAATCGATTTGAAATATATTGTATTGAATTCAAAGGTATGTATTATATCGTGGCTTATGTATCGAGGGGTGTACTGGATCGGCAAAGAGATGTACGTTTATTTTTAATCCACTGTCATTATTTTAGTTGAAAATTATCTCAAATGTCAATATTATCATTTATCGCAATTATTTCTTGGTCAGTTAATCGTCCAGCAAAATCTGTTATTGTTACAGACCTACCTGCAACGTCTTATGATACCCAGCCCTATTCAGGACATCACAAGGTGGAAGAGAGCATTTTGAGCTTTGGAGATGTAGACAGACTAATAATAAAGGGTTTCTCAAAAATGTGTAAATGAAACAAAACACAAACACATAACATTGAGAGAATAAAACCAACAAAAGCAGTCAGCCTCACTGTTCTGCACTGCATCTTAAAGTGACCAGATGTCCCTGTTTACCCGGGACAGTCCCAGTTTTGAGCCCGTGTCCTCTGTCCCAGCAGATTTATACAAAACCACTGATTTGTCCCAGTTTTATGCAAGAACATTTGACAAATTTGATCCCTGAAACAGTAAAGAGAAGCTTCTCTCAGAACAATTTTCCTTAATTACGCACTCATTTCACAATTGTATTATTCCCAACCATCAGTGTTGGGAGGGTTACTTTTAAAACCTATTCAGATTACAGATTACATACCCCAAAACATAGTTTGTAACCTAATCCATTAAAATACTTAAAGTGAGTAATGTAATCTGAATACTTTGGATTACTTGATATTGTCATGCTTTTTAAAACTACATGAATGTACCAACCACATCCTGAAAATTCTTGTCTGTTTTCTTCAAATTCTCAGCTGAGCCCAAGTCTCCATACAGTTGTTTGTTGTAAAGTAGCAAAGACTGGGATCTTAACACAAGATGTTTGTCTGCTAAAAGACAATAAAAAGCCCAGACTTTCCTTAACCAAATTAAAAATATTATTGCTAGAGAAATGGTTTCTATATGAGATCATTGCTGCCTTCATTTATATGCACTCTACTGTTAGGTATCATACTGTTTAGTCCTGGTTTAGTCCTGGTTTAGTCCTGGTTTAGTCCTGGTTTTAGTCCTGGTTTTAGTCCTGGTTTAGCCCAAAATGTGAAAACAGGAAAATACTGCCCTGTAATCCATTTATTTCAACAAAGTAACTGTAATCCAATTATCATTCATTGAAACAGTAACTGTAACTGAATACAGTTACTCATAATTTGTACTCTAATTACATAATGCCTGTACATGTAATTCGTTACTCCCCAACACTGTCAATCACCAAAAAACTGGGATGTCCCATTTTTTTTATTTGGACATTCTGTTCACCCTGCACTAGCTTCACTGGCTAAGAACACGCAGCCTGCCGCACATGCACCGTGTTTATTTTCATTTTCACAATCACATAAAAGTGTTTCTCACCCAGTCTGGGCCCGGACACTTCAAACTCCTGCTCCCCGGTCTTCCCCACTCCCTCCGCGGCAGAAGGAGGCTCCAGTCCCGCCAGGAGCTTGAGCAGAGCCTCCTGGGGGACTTTGCAGCCTCATCCCTTCAGGTCCGAGAAGGAAGTGAGTCGGAAGCCGCGGTCCAGGCCGTGCTCCTCGGGCTTGAAAGGTTTGTACCCGCGGAACAAGGCCTCTGCGCAGGGTGCGTCCCCGGGGGCGGGCGGGGAGGTCGAGTCGGACATGTCGAAGCGAAAGCTTGGAGCTCCAGGCCGACGCGCGCCGCAGCACAGACCGGGACAGTGCGCTCTGCGGGCGGATGAATGAGCAGGGTCTGACCGGGACTGTACGCTCTACAGGCGGATGAATGGAGCGGTCAGGTGCGCTTCTGGAGGCGGAACATGGGGCTACAAACCAGGGCAAGAGGACCCGTGCTGCCTCCTACTGTCCCGGAGTGTCAAAGGGGGAAAATGTAACCATGTAAGTATATTTTGGAACATATAAAGGACATCATATAAGATCTGCTTTGTCTTTCTTCTGTTCATTTTTGTGCATGTCAAAAAATACAATGTGTTAAATTAAATAAATGAAATAATACTGTATTGGCACTGGAGTCAAAATAAACAGTGCAAATGTTCAGATAATTACCCAAGGCTTTATCAAAACACATGACTAGATCAGGGGTGGGCAATATTTTTTTTCTGAGAAACAGAAAATATTGTGGAGCCAAAATTCTTAACTCAATTCTGCATAATATGAATTGTATTTCTTTATAAAAAGCAGTCAACAACATTGTTTTGGTGAGCTGGTCAGACTGGGAAGAGTTTATGTTATAACTAAACAATGAAAAAGTGATGCTGCCAAGCAAAAAATATCATTTAAAATAAAAGCAATGCAGCTTTAGACCATACATGAGGTAAAATTATAAAATATGTTTATTTTGTAATTCCAAATGATCTTAAATGGGCTGACCAGAGTCAACCAAATAAAAGGGCCGTATGTGGCCTGGGAGGTGCATAATACCCAGGTCTGGGATAGGGTGACCAGACGTCCCTATTTACCCAGGACAGTCCCAGTTTTGAGTCTGTGTCCCATGTCCCAGGAGATTTATACAAAACCACAGATTTGTCCCAGTTTTATACATGAAATGTCCCAGGTGTCCCTATTTGGACCAGTTTGATCCCTGCCAACATTAAAGTGGGCAATATATTGTCATTTAACTAAAATACAGAAAACCATGCTTGAAAATGACCATAAAGTAAAAAGTATACCAACAGAATCGAGAATGTGCAATGTTACACACTCTTTTCACAATTTTATTCACACCAGCCATCCCAACCTGCTGTGTCCCAGTTTAGAATTTTGACAATCTGGTCAGCCTAGTATTGACCTCACGGCTGTAAAGTCCCGGTACTTTATATTGATTTTGACCCCGCGGTGAGGTGACCCCTGGGTCAACATACCGTATAGTATTTTAACCCCGGAGCCAGAATCCTATTATGGTCTGTTGACCCCCCTATGAAAATCTATATTTTATTTTTAAAAAAAACTTTGAATTCTATAGAAAAACTTTGAATATTAATACTATATCTGCAAATTAAAACATATTGACATATTTAAGTGTTTTTTGAAGAACTCAGATGCATTTTTATGTTGATTATAACTTTTGAATATTAAAAATGACTTAGTTGTTTAAACACATATTTGACTGAAAATAAGATAAGTTGTTATTAATTAGTTAAGTAATCAAAGTGATGAATAATGATTTGTAATCTTGTTCAAATAGGCAGGGCTGATCAGTTGAGTAGTTAAATAGGGGAAACCTGTGGCTATAGTAATCTGATCCCCCAAATGTTTATTCTAGTTATGATGATGTAAAGTAAGAAGTAATTTTAGTTGAATATTGACAATGATCAATTATAAAAAAGGTCAAAATCCTATGACTATAGTAATCTGATCCCCCAATATATTTATTATAACACAACATGACTAAATTCAAGGTCGTTATTCTTACAAACCGTTGCCTAAATTGACATTATGATTAAGGATTATCTGAACATAGCTAACTAAAAAAACATAACAATGTAAAATACAATATAAAAAGTGACAAGATTGCTCCTTACATTCTTTAATTCTCATTGTAGTTTATTTTGCGCGATCATAAACGATAAAGTTTTTCGCCTTTGTTAACATTATTATTAGTTTGTACGACCATAAACGAAAAACAAATAATCCTTACATTCTTTCTTTCACATTGTTGTTTGTTTCACACGATTGTAAACGATAAACTTTTGTCCCTTTGTTAACGTTATTTTTAGTTTGTACGACTATAAACGGAGGGAAAAAACATATATATATATATATAATATATATAAAAAGAACAAGGAAGAAAGTGATTGTATTTCTGGTAGAGATTTTGGTTTGTAAAATAATCTGAACAATTACTTTAAACAGTTCAATACTGTAGAAACCTTTTAAAAAGAGTCTAGACCGCTGTGTTTTGGAAAATATGGAGCTCTGGAGTTGATGAATTGTGCATTGAGTTTTGTTTGTTTTAATTTATATTTTGTTTATTTATATGTACAGTGAGTGGAGTTGTGAATGCAAACTTGTTGTTCACGTGTTTGGTATCTTTTGTTTCAGCTCGGACTCTTCCTGTCATGACCCATGTAGTCGTGGTTTATGTTTTGTTTTTGTTTGCCGCAAAATATCCAATAAAAAAAAAAAAAAAAAGTGACAAGATTGCTATGTGTATGCAATTTTATCAATATGTTACATTTACACAAAATACCAAGCCGTTCCCCATCAAAACATTCCTTAAAATAACTTAAAAATTCTTGAATATGTAGCAATATATAATACAAGTAAATGCCATGAGAAATAATGATCAGATAAGTAACTACTAAAGAAAAAAGTAAGAGGAGTCAAAATCCTATGGGGGGTCACTTTACAATAGAGGTATGTTCACCCCGAGGTCAAAGTACTATCTCACACCAGTACTTTATATTGATTTTGACTAGTCTTCCATGTTCCCGTGTCTTTAATCAATTCCAACATTCTGCTGAACATTCCAGCACAGGCATAAACGCAACACGCGAAAATATAAAAATATATATCTAACCACCTTTTGGAGGAATTGCCGAATCATTATCTGGAGACAATTTTAAGTTTGAAGTGCTTTTTAATGAACAAAATACAAGGTGTGTGTGTGTGTGTGTGTGCCTTAATCCCACTTAACATAACAGAAAGAATATTTTTTTTGTTACATGTACAAAGTTAACAACAAAACATCTGAGCAAAAGATATTTAAAGTTATGCACCTATTGAGGTTTTCACAGTCGTCTCTTGGATGGAGAATGTGTAACCTCATTATTTCCATCAGGCTGCACTAACATACAATGTGTAAGAAGGTGAAAGGGCATCGGACACACAGCATTCCACCGTGACATTTCAGAAAAGCTTTATTCCGGATTTAAGTTTTCCAACATCAGTGGCGGTCCAGAGCAGTCCTTCAGATTTGAGAGCAGACGAAGCTCTCGGTGCGCTGTGAATCGGCAACTCCAGCTCCACGGGCTGATCGGACACTGCCAGAGATGAATAATTATCCAGCATGAGGCAGGAAGGATCGTCGGACTGTCCGGGAACTTTACCGAGAGGGTAGTTTTTCCACATCACATTTTCGGTACACAGCTGCCACGGCGACCCTCTCAGCAACCTGACCTTATCCGCGTCGCTCTCGGACATCTTGCTTTCCCGACTCCGTTCCACATTCTTTTGCCGTTGTTTGGATTTCTGCAGCTTCTCGTGCAAGCTTTCTAGAGTGTAAATTGGCTGGTCTTTTCTTGGCGAAAACGGTTCTGACTGTTGAGTGTAGATCGAGCAAAGCATCAGCAAATTCTCCTGCGTTTCGACGGGCAGAGGATGCTCCATGTCGTTTAAGATGAGCTTGAGCAAGTGCGGCGTGCTTGTAGAGGGAGCATCCAAGCACGCGGTGAGGAGCTGCTGCCATCTGAGCTGAATTCGGTTGACAAAAATCCGGTCTTTTAAACGCGCTTTCCGTTGTCCCTTCGTCTCAAAAAGGAAGTTGGATTTCTTGCTGTTGCACAAAAGAACTTCGGAGATCCAGGCTGAGACAAAGTCCGCTCTGTTGTCGTTCGGTTCATTGTTAAGCTGCTTCAGTTCTGCAAAAAGCTTTTCAAGAAGCAGGTGTATGAACGCGGGCGAGTTAAGTATTTTCAGGAGGGGCAGCCAAAACCTTAAGAATGATTGTGGAATTTGTGGAGTTGCGTTGTTGACATTGAACGCACTGCAATTTAAAGTCTCAAGCTGCTCCAACGTTGGCACCAGAAATCCGTCTTCCAGCAAAACATCGACAAGCAAATCGCAAGACTCCAACCCAGACTGCTTAATCTCGGCCAAGATCCAGCTCATGTCTGCGAAAGGCGCCGGCCATTTTTCCACACCTTCATCTTCACCGCCACCGCCGATTTCAAAAAGCTGGTACTGCTCCTTTTCGTAGGATATCAGAAGCTCGCGGATTTTCTTGTAGCTTTCCATCTCTTTTTGTCGTGTAGTTTCGTCCTTAAACGTGTCCTCGTCCTCTGCGTCCGATGGAGATTCCCAGTCGGCGTTGTTGAGCTGTCGGGACCAGTATTCCTGCTGAAGCCAGTCCAGGACGGTTTTACAGCCTTTCCGACACCACTTTAAACTCGGAAGCTTTCTGTGGGTGAAATCGTGCCGCAGATCCACTATCCACTCAGGGATGTTGAGTTTACCTGAAAAAAAAAATATGATAATTTATTTGAACAATGCATTTGAAAGGTTAATTCTTGTCAATATCACTCGACTATGTGAATGCTGATAAATGGGTTGCGTTCATGAGACATCAGCACATTGTAGAAACTCTATAGTTTAATCTGAGCTGGGGACAGGTCAGAAGTCTCAAGTGGAGTTGGCAATGGAACTGTCAGATTGCAGATTTATTGAGCTGGTTTATGGATAATCTCCTGTCATTGCTGGCTCTATGAACCAAAAACAGGGACAAAGTTCATAGTCTTCTCTGTCAACAAAATAAACAAAGCAAAGGATAGAAAAATTATGTGGCTTTAAAATAAATGCTTTCACTACAGGCAAGTAAAAGCAGTTCCATGCAGAAAACCACCAGAAAAGTTACCATATTTGATGTTTTTGTCACGTTACATGCATTGGCGAGTCACTGTTCCCCACTGTTTTGTCCAAACTGTACGTTTTTAATCACAGTTTATACTTCACTATTCTTATACATCCATGCTTTGGCAGCACGGTGCATCGGTTTTAAAATTTTGTTGTTATAAAACTATGGTATTTCTGATTCTGAAACCAAACTAAAAGAATATCTTACTTTAAATGTAGAACTTTAGTACTTTGTTTTTGTTTCATGTGAATAGGCCCAGTAATTACAGCGATGTTAACTGCAAACCAGGTCAAAAAATCTGTCTCTGACAGTTCCACAGCAAACTCCACCTGAGAGTTCTGACCTGTCTCCAGCTCAGAATGCAATAAAACTAAACCTAATTACCCCCCCACCAACTCACCAGCGAGATTCCGGAGCGGCCGTGCCACTCGTCCCTGATGACGCTCTGTGATGAGGTTTATGAATCGGACGAGCGCGGTGCCATAGAGCAGAACCAGTTCATGCCCATCCAGATGCCCACATCTGTCCAGCACCTGGCACCTCACCAGGTCTGCAGTACACTCCACAGCTACCGGGGTGCTGCCCGCGTAACGGGACTTCCACGCTGAGATCCTGAGGAGAGAGAGGGAGACAGGGTCAGAGATGATTCTGACTAAAGTGTAAACATGTGCCTGGAAATGTTTTGGTTGGGGAGGTTTAAGTCTTGCACAAAAAGCGAATGTCTTCTGGCTTTATTTTATATCATAATATTTTTGCAGCTTTTAGGCAAGTTCATTTTATTTTTTATTTTTTTGTAAAAAAAAAAAAAAGTGATGTAATAGTTTTGCTTCCATTGTAATACTGCTTTTTGAACTGTATGAGATGTAACTCACCAACATGTGACCCTTTTTGTCCAATCTAAATGTAAACACATGGGGGAAAAAATCACTAGATCATTTTTCTCTTGTGTGCACAATCTTGTGTCAGTTTTCTCTCATGAGATATTGTGGCTCAAGATCTTGAACTATCCCTGCTACATTATTATTTTGTTAATAAACTCTTCTTGCACCATTTTATTTTACAGAAAATTAAATACATCTCCCACATATACTGTTTTCTAATTGAAATATTTTTATTTTAAATTAGTCAAATTTGAGTTGCTTAATCTTGCATAGCTACAAAATGACAGATTTGATCAATTTATAAACATTGCCCATCACTAGACTGATGACTTCTTATGACGAACATAGACGACTGTACAAATTTTACAGGCAACAAATGTGGATGCAAGAGGTTGGCAGTGCTTCTCTTATCCATAACGCTGTGCCATTTGGCAAGGCATTTCACACATTTCTACTGTATAGTGCGTGAGTAGGTTATTGGAGCAGAATCTAAGCAGGGAGGTAATAATTGACTTAATATGAAGTTTCTGATGCATGTAAACAGTAAAATATAAACGTGTGATATATTATAATCTGCCTTTATAATGCTTGGTGCATATGCAGGGCGTGTATCTACAGGTTCGTGTGGCTTGAGTACAGATAATAAACATGACATCAGTGGTTTGTAAAGTAATTTAAACGTCCCTCTAATGCCTTTTACCTGTGCAGAGCGTGTTTCTGCAGACTCGTGTCGCTGGAGTAGAGATATTCCAGGACTTGGTCCCACTCCGCTTTGTTGATCCACGCCACCACATGCCGATTCTTCTCTGAGCTGTTCTTTTTCTTCATGTTTACGACCAAAACCGACACTTACGCTTATGTACAGAATAAACCTTGTTCAGTAAATACAAAATGCGTCAAAATGTACAATTCTTGACGATAACAATCCAGTCAAAACGCAAATTTTAGAAGATACATTTCTTTTCGGTTAGCGAGCAGCATGGACACACGGATATGACATAATTATTAAGCGACCATTTTTTTATTTTCTGTTTAGTTTTCTTTTTTTCCCCTTCATTTTCATTGTAACATGATTCTACAGGTAGGCCCTTGTTTTAAGTAACAATAATATCATTTTCATTTTTTTTCACACGTTTTTATTGATTAAAAATGTAAACAAATTGTAACGTCATAAGCGAGCGACAGTGACTCTGTTTAGAAATGGCGGGTGCTTCGAAAGAGAAACAACTCGCACGTCAAATTTACAGTTTATTACAGGTAAAATATGTCATTTTATTAAAACTAGATAAGTAGCTAATGCCTGTTTCCTGCTGTTAAATGTTACGTACAAACTGTGGTAGGACAAGCAGCTTTTTAGTCCCAAAACTGTGACTCCTCAGTGGGTCCCAACGGAATGGATAGAAATGTTGAACTACAATTTTTTTGTGTGATTTTCTTGATGTTAAGCTCAAGTTTGCCGCCTTAAAAATGCTGATAAAGTTTCTAGTAAACTAATAACTCCCTGATATTTGCCACTTTGACATTTGCCACATTCTTCATGGATGATACACAGATACTTTATTTAACCAATTCATTTACTTCAGTATAACTCGTCATATTTGCCATTTATTTTGTATTGTAAGAGCTAAAAACATAAATTATTAATGATTTTTTTTGTCCTAGTCTTTTTAATATGATATTTAATGTTATTTCATGTTTAGTAAAGTAATTATTTTTATTTCTTGTCTGCTTTTTAAATCAACTAAAAATTGCATGTCCATTAATCTACATTTTGTCATAGTCGACATAGATGTATATCATTGTAGTCATTATGATTAGTTTTTATTTAATTTTAGTCAACATATATGACAAGGACAAAACTGTAAAAAAATCCTTCCAAACTGTATTTGTGTGCAGGCTGTGTCTTGCCCCCTGATGGACGGCCTGTTCCTGCAGGAGGAGGACAGTATGCTGCAGCTGCTCTGCTCTCCCTCTCAGTATCGCACAGACATACTCACCTGGATCTGCAGCAGGTACACACAGGACAGGCCCTCTGTGTCAATATGCCTCCATCACCATGTGCCAAAAATGGTGTGTCCTTAGGCAAGGCACTTCACAGACATTGCTTAGTATAAATGTAGCGTGTGTGGTGGTGTTTGGAGGAGCCGACGGCGTGGATTGGCAGCCTTGTGTGCCCCAGGACAGCTTTGGCTACTAAAAGTTGCTTACCACCACCAAGAGTAGTGCTAAGCAATCCATTGATGAGTTTAATTAAGCCTATTTAAATGAATGATTACACTGTATTGGACTAGGGTTGGTAAATCCCTGTAGTAGATTCATAAACATTCACGGCTGTGCAGTTTTTACCAAAATCTAAAGTTGAAACAAAATAAGTATAGATCTATTAATCTAAATGATCTCTTCTTGGTCTTGTCTTGTGGTAGGCAGTAACATCATAACACACTTGTTTTCAAAAATGGGCGGTTAGACTGCTGACCTCACAGTAAGAACATCCCAGGTTTGATTCCCAGACCCTGTGGGTTTTGCATGTTCTCCCTGTGTCAAACTGAAACATGCTCAGAAAGACACATGATTCCTTTCTTCCTCTGGGGCAGTACAGTTTTCTGCCTTAAAGGTTGTATGGAGGATTTTTTTTTGTTTAAAATTGTCAATGATAGCATTATAGAGGTGCAGTAGCCTTGTAATTATGATGACCAAAAAAAAGAGAATAAAAATTCATCAACTCTGGACGTGGTGGGGCTAAACATTTGCCAATAGATAACGACACTGCCTCGTTATCTGTGAGCTGATAGGCTGTCAATCAAACTCTCTACGTTTCTAGTGTAACTGACTTGCCTGCGCCGCCATTACGTGGTTTACGTACGTCTGTCACACAGTCCACAGACGCAAGACGCACAGACGCTGTTTACTCCACCAACGCAACAGTTCATAGCGGCTTTTTTGACCTATATCTTCCTCGCAGTTTGCACAAAGTTTGTTGCAATGGCAGACAAGAATCCAGGAACGTTTTTCAGGACACGAATGTGATATCCTATGTCTGAAAACGTAATTTTCGAGGCAAAGAAAGAGTCCGCTTGCTGCTGCGTGTTGTAGCTAGTTCATTCGCACGGAATCTCTGCGCACCCTTCTCTGCACCCTTTCCTGCTCCTCTCCTCGCTCCCCGTTCTGCTCTTCTCCCTGCTCCTCACTTCTTGTCTGCACACGAAATGTCCTCGCACCCCCTCCTCACTTCTCCACCTTGCCTAACCAACACTATAGTTAGTTGTTTACAAGTCATGTGCAGCGCACCGGCTGTAAACAAACCTGTTTCTGGCGTAAGGAAGAGGAGGAGGGAGGGGGCGTTTCTACGTAGGGAGCTGTAGGGGAGGGGGGGTGGTTTCACGCATGTGCAACATTTGAAAAAGGACAAACAGTTGCTGGATTTCTCATTCCTTGGAAAATCCTCTATACAACCTTTAACAACATTCTAATATTTTTGTTGTCATTTCACAGTATAAATCCAATCTTCCTGAATTCAAAAGCCAAAGACCCTGAAATCGTGACTAAAGGTATGGCTCTGTTATCTGCACAGTTACAGTGGGATACCTCATATAAAGCATGTGGTCCGTGTTTCATTATTACTTACTTTATTTTTCAGAAATGGCTTTGCTTGGGCAAGAGCTCATGTTATGCAAAGCTACAGACTTGGATCTGATCAGGGTAAGACTTCAAATAATCAGTTAAACACAGAATTAAGAAGAATTGATTTTACAATTAATTGTTATGAATATATTTTCCCCATACTTTTACTTTTTCATTTCAAACCTTCAAAAGAACCATAACCAGCCTTGTTTGAGGCAACATTCACATAATAGAATTTATTTAATAATCAAATAATAATGATAAAGAATACAGTTTGCCAGTATAGTAAAAAAAAATGTGTCCATGTAATGTGTTAATGATCATTTTGGATCCATTTGGTGTTGTTTGTCCCTCTGCAGGGTTCCCAGAGTCCTGTGCGTCAGCTGCTCTTCCTGAAGCAGCTCCTGAGCCTGATCCCTGTCTCCACAGACTCTGAGCTCAGATCTGATCCTGACCTCCTCCTCAATGAGCTGTTTTCTGCGGAGAACCTGCCTCAGCTTAATCACATGCTCAGACCGGCTCTGGACCCCTGGCCCGCCCACATCAGATACAGAATGTAAGTATATCTCACTCTCATGTCTCACTCTCATGTAGACAGTATACTTTTACTACCAGTAAACCTGAAATAAGACAGATTTCCTCCCTGTTGGGCTTGAGCTAAGCTGAGCTCTGTGTCCTTTCTTTTATCTCAACTACATAAAGTAGCTTCATATGTAATTTCAAAAGTTTTTTCTTGTTTCAGGGCTTTGCAAAAAGGATCTAAACTTCAGAAATCATTTAAAGAAGAAACTCCAGACCTCGCGGCTCTTCTGCTGTCAACACAAACAGCCTTAGAGCAGCTAAAGGCAGAGGTAGAGGAAAAACAGCTATTTGTTAATAGTAGAACATTACAATGATTATGTTGACCATAAACTGCATTATGAATATTTTTGTTCCAGTGCGATTTCCTGAAAGAGTCTCAGAGCACCAGTGTCTTCTCTTTGAGCGCGCTGAGGGTCGCAGCAGGAGACCTTCACCAGATGATGGCAGCGTTCAGACACGTTTATGAAACTGACTTGAAATCCTACTGCAACAAAACACCACCTACCTTCAGCCCCGAGATCAGCGTTTTCAAGAGGGTGCACGAGCTCATGACGACCTGCAATACGGTACCCACACTCTCAACTATTCTGTTTATTTAAAGGTGCACTAAGTAACTTTTCCAGTGGATTTTACACCACCTAGTTGGAATGTTTTTGCTTCACCTGGAATGTTCCACTAACCCGGTGTTCTGTCGAAATGAGCTTCCAGAAGCCTAAACTGACAGTGCTGTCTATCGATTCATACCACCCAGTCGAAATGAGCGACCTCATGTTTTTCCAAAACCAAAGCCAAACCCTGACCTCCCCAGTTTGACAAAATATTTCTTTGGATTAGAGATGTGAGTTTGATGCTGTTTGCACACGGTGATCACACTTTATACCTTAGTTATGTCAAATTTCAGCTCATTTACATGAATCTGCGTAGTTCATTTTGTCAGTTGTGTTCTGCTCAAATAGGCTCCGACTAAAGGGAGCACATATCGACAAGCCAATATAGCCATCGAATAATGCTCCCAGTATAGAATCACCATTATTCACTTATTTATATGAATTTGGGCAGAGGAGCAAACCTTGAGTGGCCTGATTCATCAGCCGGTTTTACTTCGTTTCACTTCTTACAAACCGTCTGACCTCGCAGCATTAGGATTCGTTCGCTCGACGGTAGGCAGGTACTTTTTATCATTTAACCAATCGCTGCTATTTGGTTGTGACGTATGTAATGCCCCGTTAAAGGGGCTAACTGGTATATTAAGCTTTTCCCAAATCCCGTAGGAAGAAGGACAATAACGTCTTTCCCTTTGATAAAATTCACTAAACATTCTCTTTATTCCGGCTTTAAATCCTCGAACTCAGGAATCACTGACAACATAAAATATATGGCTCTTCGCTGATTGGCTGGTGCCCGAACTTGCACTTCCAGGGTTTTTGCAAACTGTCTATTGTATTTTGTTTCCTGACCTAGTCGCTGGAGAGAAATTAAATTTAGCTGAGGCACTAGATGGCACCAGCCTGACTAAACCTTGACTATATCTTCTCCCAAATAATGCATCCACCAGAGGGCGCACACCTCACCTTTCTGACACTGGGGACACTAAAGATGGAACAATTAATGCAATTCAATTTGATTTATACCACACCAATAACACTGGACTCTTAGTCATGATGGAAGAGGACAGAAAAAGGGACAATAGAAGAACCATTATAACAAACATTTATTTAAAAAATAGTGAAACAGCAGAAAAAGCAAAGACATCTTTCCTCCACAAATGTACAAAGTGCACAAATAAATAGTCTCTTTTCACTCAAATAGACTGGAGTACAGTCTGTGTGTGGCCAAGTTTGTTTTGGCAGGAGCATGTCATGATGGATCCTCGTGAGTTTGTGAACTCACAAATATCACCTGAATCTTTCTGTGCAAGGTTAATATTCCACAGTAAAGCATTAAATTGATTTTATTGTATTCTTTCTGTGACTCCGTAGACCTGCTGTCACTTGCTTGTCTCCGTGAAGATAGAAGTTAATTGCCATACTGTGGAACATTCCAGGCAAAGCAGTAACATCTCCATGGAGACAGGCACCAGAAAAGTTCAAATGACCACAGTTAATCAGCATCACAATCCAGTCAAAACCTTCAAATTACAAAGGCTGCAGTTGTTCACTTTTGAAAATAGAATGTCCTCTGGAAAGAAAAAAATTATCTTTATAAAATAATCTGACTTGTAGTTTAGACCTCTGCTGTGTTTTTCTTTTGCAGGATTTGGAAATATTAAATGAACTTTCAGAGGCGTCTGGGGCCGTGACTGAGGACGTGCGCCACCTACAGACCAAACCGCTACTGGAGCAGAGGGGAAAAGCACACTCTGCGTAAGTCCAACTAAATGTGTTCAAGTTACAATTATTTCAGAAATGTAACTTTAATTAATAGTTTTTCATTTTATCTTTGCAGCCGACCAGTTGGAGGAGCTGACCAGACGCTATCGTGAATTTCTGTCTCTCCTTAATCCTTAGCAAAAACTGTTCTTTAAGTTTTATTTGTACAACTTTAAAATCAAAACCTTTACAATGAATGGAATTTAAGTAAATTGTAGTGTCCCTTTGGCAATACACTTCACCCACCTTGTCTGCGTGTTTGGAGAGGTTCTTGGCACATTGGCAGCCACATTTTGCCACAGCTGCCCTAACCTGACTGACCACAGAGGAGGGTTAGAGACTAAAGCACTTTGAGAAGCCATTTATTGTGACTAATCATTATTTTCTGATCGTGTTATGTTCTTCCTCATCATAAACAGACCTGGAGTTATAAGATGCAAAAAACCCAAGGCACTCACTGGTTCAAATAAAATGCCTTTATTAATTTACGGCATGTCTTAATGGACTTACAAAGTTGTGGTCCAGTGTTGTCTGATTGTTGATCGTTAGTCCCCAGAGGAAAGCCATAGTCTGAAACACGTCTGGACTTTGTAAGTTGTCCATTAAGACATGCTGTAAATTAATAAAGGCATTTTATTTGAACCAGTGAGGGCCCTGGGTTTTTGCATCTTTTACTCACTTCTCTTCCCAAAGAGCACCACTGACTTTTATCTACTGTGTATTATCCTGCGCTTCTTTTTTAGACCTGGAGTTGTGTTTTGTTTAGTTCACAAATGTTTAACACACAAACTCTGCACATTTAGTTCTTCTCAGGCTAAAAACACTCTGTTCTACTTTGTGATGTCATGTGGTCATGTGTTTGAGCCCTGGAATTAAAAGGAAGCTGCAAACTTGAAATCAACCACTGCATGACATCATAAGGTGGAACAGAGCATTTTGAGCTTTGGAGGTGTAGATTAATAATGCAGGATTATTCAAACATGTGTGAATGAAACAAAACACAACTCCAGGTCTGTTTTTGAGAAGGGAACATAACGTAGCTTGAAGCTATAAGAGCGCATTTTGTGTCAAATAAAACCTTTAAC